CTAAAAGAAATTCCATATTCAACTACACTGCAAAATCATTCAGGGAAGGACACTGCAGTTCATTTTATCTTTATCCTCACATTCACTTAATATATAAACAAGACATTGTTTACTGTTTATTGCGTTATCCTCTAACTTCCCTCTGTACTATAGACTGATTTATTGTTTTCAAAACACAAATTTTGTGGAAGGAAAAAAAGATTTTACAAGGATGAAGACAACATGTCAGAAAGTGGTAAGGCTTGATTGGAATGATAATGAGAATACTCCATTATGTCAGGCTTTTAATTAGATTGATACAAGAAAGGATTTTGATTCCGCATGGCGTTCAGAATCTTAAGTATAAAGAGATATGGCAATTGAAATGATTTTAAAGCAATTCTTGATTTCCTCATATTTGCTATTTTAAGATCAACTAATGTGTAATTTTTTATATCATGATATTAGTATTATTTTATGCATGCTGAAGATTTTTAAAATTGTTAAATAGGGAAATATTGTTTTTTGTTTAATAAAGACGGGGCACGGATGCTTATAATCCTGAATTTTTGTTTTGCACTATTCTATGTTTAAGTCGTAAGTGTTTAAAGTGTACATAATGTCTCAAAAGCTAGACTCTGAGGTACTGAGACGGGGCTAAAATAGTAAAGAATGAAATTCTTTCTTTCATTCTTATGTATAAAGAACTAATTTTTGCATATATTTTGCATATTTTGAAAACTTCCTGAAATGTGCTGAATTCAATGTTGTAAGAAATATAAATTAACAGAAAATATTATAGTGTCAAAGCAGTGTTTCACAATTTTTGTGTACATTTTATATCAGAGAGGACAAAATGGACAAAATTTCAACAATTTTAGCTTTAAAATTTATAGAGCGCAAGTTTGTTCAGGAACAATATTGACATATTTCATTGATATCATTCTACACATTATATCAAAATATTGATCCTGAACACACATGCGCTCGGTGACTTTTACTCAAAATATCGACAAAATATGTACATTTTTCTGTAAAACTCATAAAAAACTAAAATTTACGTCGTTTGTGATGTCATTTCGTACATATGGCGTCATTACTTATGAAAATATTCAGTGCTTTGTATATAATTTTGAACTTAATTAAATATATCTCCATCAAAGTTTGATTTGGGGGGCAAATATTGGTTATTACCGAATAAAGTTCTTTTGAGTCCCTGGACATCGAGCAGGCAGCTTACGTTTGGTTAGGTAATTATGAGTGCTCTGCCAAAATTTTGAAATGTATCTCTCCTGGGTCTAAGATTTTGGGTGAAGTAAGTAGTACAGTGATAGACTGAGTTTGTGATACCATGTGATACTGGTACATTAAATAAAAGCACCAGTTATCTCCTCTTTAATTACAGTCATAGTAAGACAGAAGTTGCCTACAGATGTTTTAATACTAACACTAGCAGCTGTTAGAGCATCTGCTCTAGAGTCACCAAGAAAGGAGTTGATCTTTATGTCGCAGGTTTGAATCCCACTGTTGAACATGGAGAGCGGTCCTTCGGATGAGACCATATTAACTGTGGTCCCGTGTCGCAGTAGGTGCTGGCACAAAAAAGATCCCTCCCTGCTCAATGGCCTTAAGTGCTAATGGAGGGCTGCAAATTTATACCTATGCACAACACTCAGGGCCATTGGGCAGTGAGGTTCATTTTTGTGCCAACACCTACTGCGACACGGACCCTCAATTCATAAGGTCTCATCTGAAGGACCGGTCTCCACATCCCTTGTGGATTCAGACCTGCGACTTAAGGACTTGCTCCTTCTCAACTCTAGAGCAGACACTCTAACCACTGCACCATGCAGTTGACTCAGTTCATTTGTACACACTTTAAAGAGCAATAAATTACATTTTTATTGATTAAGTTTATATGTAGTGCTGTTTACCTTGTTTCCCATTTGTGTAATTGTTTAGCCGAGGAAGTGAATTCTAAAAGTTCTTCTTACAAACAATAAAACTTTGCATTGATTATTGTAAAAGGGTCCAAGTGCAATGGATTTAAAGCATACAATTTAACAGAACACATAATTATATCTTTATTGCATAGATCACTGTAATACAGATTTAGTACAATGGTATATTGAGTAGGCAAGTTAATAGAACATGTCTTTTAAATGATCGTTAATGCAAAACATATAATGTAGGGTAATTAAATGGACACTGGGAAATATTTCAACCATTAGACAGCTATTAAATTGGGGTTCATTTTTTTCCTTATTCAATCCCGGGATGAGTAGTGAACCTGTTTTTATTATATCTGATTACGTGTAACTTGTGTAACTCGCTCAAATATCTACTGCATAGTGACACATTGTGTAAAATTACATGTGTGTTTCACATCTGAAGAAAAGACGCATTTTCCTAGTGACCTCTTGATAGATTTTAATGGGCCATTTTACAGAGAAAAATTGTAAAGTGTTCAGCTAATGAAGCACTTGACAACACAATAAGGTTTTACATCTTGTGGCATTTGGAGGGGTACTTAGGATTTACATCATATATATTTGAGGAATTTGTCAAGCCCGATACTGAATATTGTGCACACAGGATTCTAGGTGCTAGTGTTGGCAGCATCAAAATGTAACTGATTTTTCTGGCCTGGGTATGTTCTACTTATATTATTATGTTATAAGGTATGTTCTGAGAAGTGAATTAATCTTTCTTTTAAAAATTTTGGATTTACCTTTTCTTCATTTCATTTTCTAAGTAATAAAAATAATTTTTTTAAGCAAAATATCTGTAAAATAAAAAGTAAATCAGCAAATCAGCAAAGCTTGATGAATTGGCATCATTTGTATCTAACATAATTTATGAGTGGGTAAGAATGCATGGATAGTTCTAATTTTTCAGCTGATTGTGACATTATATTGTGGATGTTTGTCAATGTCATTGAAAATTCAGAGAGCAGTCGTACACTTTTCCCAGTGGATCCAGAATTCAATACTTAGCAATGCTCTATAAATTTCTGCTAAAGAACCTTATTTGTGATGGTTGGGGAGCCCCAGAGTTAGATAAGTTAATAAAAGAGACAGGAAGTCCCAACAATGAACTGACAGTAATGACTACTGAATCAGTAATAGAAAACGAAATTAGGTAGTAGGCATGCTTACTGAACACTAAATTCCACTTAATGCTAGCCCACTGTAAATGCTGATTGATTTTGTTCAATGCAGTTCTCTAATATGTATTTTGAATGGCTAATGGTGAAAGAACGAGTGCACTTATGGGCCCCGGTAAAATGTGAAAAAATAAACATTCAAATTAAGCAAAATTTTTCATCCCAAATCATTAATTGATATCTAAACCATAAGATTCAACAAATTTTACCGCTGAAATTCACGTATATACAAGGAACAAAACCATAGAATGCGGCAGGGGTCAACCGACATTTGTGATTTTCTATAGTAAATCGAGAACGGTCAGTCAATTCAAAGCTTTTGTTTACTATGAGCCTAACTTTGTACAAACTTGTGAATGACAAAAGACGCATTATACATTTATAAAACTTGTGTGAAAGTAGGAAATTTGTACACGATTAGGCTGGTAGTTAAAATATTAAAAATGTACAAAAAGTACAATGTTTTTTCTATAGCAAGTGAGAGGTATTTACCTGTATGACCCATGTTGAACCCACGTGTGGAATAAATTATTTAAAATACTGATAGTCACGTGAGTTCTACCAAGATAAACATTCATCAAAGGTGCTCACTGTAAAACATCGGCAGTTTTTTTTATCATTTAGTCAAAGTTGCGCCGCTTAGAAATATTTCTATGTATCAATATTTAAGATTACGGTAGGGTAAAGAGAGTTTAGCGCAACTCATAAAAGTGTCAGACATTTTTAACATGTATGCAAGACAATGAAACAGGTATTGAAAGCCACCTAAACACTCCTTTTAGATTTCAAATTCATTTTATTGTATATATTTTTTCAAATGCAAGAGTACCGATTTCTTAGTTTGATTATTATGGCTACAGGCAACTACAGAACTTCTTTCAATTTTTTAAAACAGATATAGCACAAAAAATTACATTCCACAAACGCGCCCGACTATGATCCACCATCAGATTGTTCAAGATCTCATCGCCTTGATTTACATAAACGAAACTAAAAGAAGGTTCGGTTCGACTTTTCCGGATTTTTAGGGTGTCCATATAGGCATTTTAAAAAAGTCAATTGTTTCAAATCCATGCTGATTTTGGTGATGATTATCGTGCTTTTTAATTAGAAATATACACTAGTATATAACTATTTCCAAAAGAGAACGATTTGGTTATATATTCTAAAGTAAAATGGCACATAAAAAGGGCCCATTAAGCATTACTTAAGTGCACTTGTCCTTTGGCATCTAAATCTAATAAATGTCTGTGTAATGGTTTACTTTCTGGCAGAGCAACTGTAGAAACACTCTGCCTTCATTATTTGTGTGATTAATCTTTTATTTACTTTATACCCTACACTACTACATTAAATTCTTGCCAGAAATTTTTGGCTGTGGTAAATGTTTATTGAACCCCAGTTGTAAAGTTCAGGGCATGTCTTTTTGTCTAAACAGTAATGCAGTCTGTATCACTTTAGTTTATGTAATTTATTTTGCATTTCTGATAAACACTGTGTGTTACCGACACCGGATATTGCTACCATCGAGGCGAGGAGTTCTTCACATTTTAATAGGACACAAGTTGGAATTTATTTTATTTGTCAAAGAATTTGTCCTCATAAGTGTTCTACATGTATTTCTGATATAAAGAGGATGCTACACTTTTAGATTTTATTCGTTCCGCAGCGTTTGGTAACGTCATTTTATTCGAACTTATCAAAACACGCCACCTGGTACTGGAGGAAATTCTACCTGAAAAGTTTGAAGTGCTTCTTAGATATATTTCTACGCTTAAATAAAAAATTCTTACTATCAGTAATTGTTAAGAATTCAAATGTCCTTCATGTTCTGTATGATTCGTGTCATGAAAAAGTGTTTTTAATGATAAAACTAAACAAAACCTTTCTTGGGTACTGTACGGCTAATTGAGGATAACAGTACGGCATATTGCTAGATTGCGCATATCAAAGTGTACGGCATTTTGATTATTTCATTAACTTGTCTCTTTTTTAACAGATTTTTTTCATTTGATTTCAGATATTAGGACTATTTGCCTGCTTCTATTGCAAAGCAACAGCGTCCTCCTGTGAGGATATCGTCACCCAAATGTTATTTCATAATACATAAGTAATAATCGAAGAAAAAATGTGTTACACACCTTCAATTTTCGTATTATACCAAACATTTGCCAAGAGCAAGCTATAGGGAATTTATTTCAATAATATAAACTATGATAAGGGGAAAATTGATATACTTTAAGGCCTACCCAAATTTCTTGAGTGAAATCATTCCTAGGTAAGTCTTAACACCCCCCCCAAAAAAAAAAAAAAATTCTGACACTCAATATGTATATACAACTCTGTTAATAATGTGATCCTAGAGGGTACTGTATTAAAAAAATATCCCCAGAGAAGCCTATTCTATCATTACTAGTATTTCTTTTTATTTAATATATGTAGGGACCAATTATTTAATTCAGAAGAAATGACGAAAAGAACATGCAGCAAGGAGAAAATTAACGTTGATGCCCTAGACGCAGCAGCCCATAGCTACGAAGCTGCGCCAGTACGACAGCATCATAAATGTGATCAAAGCAAAATATTGACATAGAAAAAATATTAAATTGAGAAATTTCAGCGTTTCTGTTAAATTCACAACTAAAACGAAAAATAAGTATAGAATACACATTTGCAACATATTTTATATCTGTATAATGTGAAAAAAATTCAATTATGAAAAGAAAAGTTCACACATCCTTGCTAAATAGACATATATGCCCAGATCTAAGGGGGGGGGGGGTCTGGGTAGTAATATTTGTAGTTTTTAAATGTGTACATGTATACACTTAACCAAGTGAAAGTGGCCTTAAAGTCCTCTGAAGAAAACACAGATCTCTTTAGAAACAGTTGGAATGAAAAGTTCTTTGTAGAAAGCTTTACAAGGTCAACAACTAACCCCCCACACACACACACACACACAACCTCTCTTATGGGTAGGATTTTTTTTTATTGTTGACTTTGGTGACCCCCCCCCCCCCCCCCCCCCCCCCCCCCAATCGGAAAAAAATTCCTGGATCTGCGCCTGAAAATTTAATATTAAAATGTGAATGTTATCTCACTTATTATTTTAAAAACAATAATGAAAAATGATTACCAGTAAAAAAAAATGTCTCAAAACTTATGCAAAGAAAAAAGGGAAATAAAAAAAAAACAAGCAAGCGATCCTTATGTTAAAACTTAAGGACATACAAAACATAGTTTAAATTTTTTTGTGTTTTTCTCTGGGGTTGGAGTGTCAATACTTATAGGAACTGATTCTACATTTTATTGTCTATATATATATGTTGTTGAACACTTTCTCTAGTTAAAAAGTCTGGATAAACAAAACATCTCAAATATATTTTAAACAATTTTTGTGTGATTTTCTATGAATTATACAAGAAATTTCATCAATTGATATCTTTTCCAACATGAATTATACAAGAAATTTCAGTAATTGATATCTTTTCCAACCCTCTGGTAGGGTATGCTATATTTTTGTCTGCTAACTTTTGATGGCACTTCAGTGGCGGATCCAGGAATTTTGTAGCGGGGAGGAGGCAGTATATATATACATATGTTGCAGTGTGGGTAAAAAAATGAGAAAAGTGATAGCATTTGAAAAAAAAATGGTACTGAAAGAAGTTAGAACCTAACACCCCCCCCTTTCGAAATAGGATTTTCGTGTTTTGACAATGCACATACCTTTTTTCTTGTCAGTTTTTTTTTAAGTCAATGCCAGTGAATTAGAAGTCCGGGGGGGGGGGGTCTGGTGGATGTACTGAAGCCCCCAAATGGATCTACGGCACAGTTCTTTATGGCGGTCTGGGGGCTGACAAGTTCTTACAAATAAGAGATTTTTTTACTTAATTTTAGGTTAGTGAACATATAAGTAATGCATACAAAAATATCAAACGGGGGATGGCGCACGCCCGGCGCGCCGGCCTTGGAATTAAATTCTTTTTTTTTTTAATTCAAATATAGTTAAAAATTATCAGTAGGTATTAAGTTCATTTATTTTAATTTAAATATCGTTAAAAATTATCAGTAGGTAATGTACGTTGCGTGTGTCCTTAAAAGGGTACAACATCTGGTGAGCTTTTAATGAGGAGCGCTAATTTATACCGCACAGGAGCAAATATATCTCAGTGTCCTTTCGTTAATGCCCATAGTTGGTGTGTTCCTGCAGTTTGTATTTCCCGAAGAAGGATATCCCACACGTACTCCACAAATGAAAGGGTTACTGCTAAAAGTTTTGTTGATCCTGGTCCTTTCATCTCGGCTTTGCAGAATTTACTTTTTTTTACTTTGGTTAGATACCGGATAGACATGAAACCTGAAATGACATTGGCGTTGGAAGCATTTTGAAAGTGGGGGGGGGGGGGGGGGCTAAGTGTAAAAAATAAAATTTTTGTACCTCCAAAAAAACCTAACAAGCAAAAAAAAAAAAAACGTAATGTCTACTTCCCAAACACGAAAATCCTATTTCGGGGGGGGGGGGGTGGGGGGGGGGGGGGATACGTTCGAACTACACTACCAAAAAATTTCTGTGGAAAGTGGGTGGGGGGGCTAAACTTACGAAGATATGTTCAATGTCTATACTAAGTATATATTTGAAAAAATTGTATGCCATAAATGTAAGATATGTGTTCAAATTCTAAAGTGTATTATCTTTTGCCTGTGGAGTGAGGTCCAAACTGGGTACCGCAACATGTACTACAATTTTCACAAATACATATTGTCTAAATGAGCTCTAGTTTATTTGTACTTGGTCTGGCGAGGTATCACAGGCTTGTAAAAATACTTTTAGGGTGAGATATTCAAAACTGTCTTTATTCTCATACAGACATAACAAATGCAAATACATGTAGTAGAATGAAAAAATTAAAGTTCAAAATGTTAAAAACAGTTGCTTCAGATTGTTTAAAATCTCAAAATGCCGTACAGTGAAATTTCAATTCGCCGTACACAGTTGTTGAAACAATTTACAATAAGCCGTACACTCTGAAAAATAATATTTGCTTTGTTTTGATGCAAATAAACAGTTTGTATCATTAAATTTGATATAAGAAGTTCAGAAATATAGTTTAAAAGGACATGCGTGTGTGAACATTACTAAATTGTTTGAAACAATTAAGAAAGCAGCCTTCAAACTTTCTCAGGTAGAATTTCCTCCGGTACCAGGTGGCATATTTTGATAAAATAAAATAAAATGACGTTGCCAAACGCTGCGGAACGAATAAAATCTAAAAGTGTAGCATCCTCTTTATGTCAAAAATATATGTAGAACACTTATGAGGACGAATTCTTTGACAAATAAAATAAATTCCAACCTGTGTCCTGTTAAAATGTGAAAAACTCCTCGCCTCGATGGTAGCAATATCCGGTGTCGGTAACACACAGTGGATAAAGAATGGTCAAATGTTCACATGATTGTTATTTTCTTGAAGTTTCTGCATAAAATGTGAGTTGATCTCTGAATAAATTTAGCCTGAATAATGTAGGTCAAAATTGTAATTTTAAGTTGAACTCTGGTATATCAAAACTAACGGTAGCAGGTATTTTTCAAATACCCTGGATGCACCAAAATGATTTGGAAGTTCCAACCACTTTTTCTAGAGACATTTTACCCTTGATATATGGAATCCTCGGATGTGTCATGAATTTTTTTCTTGATTCAATGTAGTTAACTAGGTTTGACTGTCCATTAAATATAAATTGTATTATGACCACTCGATCATAATAATACCTTGGTTCAAAGGAACCATTATGTCAGCACAAAATAAATATGCTTTATACAGCTTCATATTTTACACAGGTTTCTAAGAGAGGTCCATTTTTTGCCCTGTGTAGGATTGGTATTGTTTAAAGGATTTATAAGATTGATCACCATATGTTATCTTTATTTTTTTCATGACTGTGTTTTATCAATGCCTTCCAGGTACCTTGTACAACAGACCTATGCCTCACAGAACCAGGCTAACTCCAGAATGGAGGAATCCATGACCCCTGACCTTTTCCACTCACACAACCATCCAGAGAGGATGATCCGCAAAATGGAGCAGTATGTGGAGAAGCGGCAGTTGTGTGACGTCACCCTCGTCGTGGGCAACAAGCGGATTCCTGCTCACCGATTGGTCCTCAGTGCAGCTTCGGACTATTTTGCAGCAATGTTCATGAATGATGTGAAAGAGGCCTCCATGGAAGAAATCCGGATGAAGGACGTAGATCCAGATGCCATGGTAGCCATTGTCAACTATGCCTATACAGGTATATAAAGAATGATATTTTAATTAATGATTTACCTAAAATTGTATGATATGCTTCAAGAAATTGTGGCAACGCACTTTGAAAAAATTATGCACTTAGAAATTTTTTTTCAAAGTGCGTTAAAATTGGGACAAAATCATCGCACTTTGAAAAAAAATTTTCAAAGTGCGTTAAATTTGGGACACAACGCACTTTGAAAAAATATTTCAAAGTGCGTTAAGAGTGTACGTAAACTTTTTTAACTTTGGGACATATAACGCACTTTAAAAAAAAATGTATAAAACAAAAAAATCTATACTTAAATTTTAGTAATTGAGAGAATCAACTTTTATTAATTTTATCTTTGGAAAAACATTTTAATTTTAATACATATATTTATTTAACCTCATTGAGAACAAGGAGATGGCCAGTAGAAGGTCTCTCAGCCCAACTCTTTTTTATACATTGTACATAGTCGTCGGTAGCAAATTGAATGTGGACACCCCCTCAAAGGCTAGCCCCGATTTATTTACAATGCCTATATATCTTTGCAAAACATTCCTAAGAGTTCCTAAGACCCCCCCTCCCGGTACCGATGCTTATGCTACACACAAATATATGTATTTGCATAACTGGTATGATGTTGAAAACTTTCAAAAAATTTTTAGTTTACATACAAAATACATGCAAACTGCAAAACTGAAGTAAAAGATTTAAGAGAGATAGAATTTTCAAAGCATGGAAAAATCAAAATCGCTCACTTTCACATCCTGATGTGACATCATCACCAAAGAGTTATCAAACAGGTTCAATTATTTATCATACCCAAGATTTGCAAGAATATTGACCAAGCCATACATATTTTTTCAAAGTGCGTTAATATGATCAATATTAACGCACTTTGAAAAGAAATTTTATTATTCAAAAGGCGTTGATTTGGTCCCAAATTTTTTTCAAAGTGCATAATTTCTCAAAGTGCTTTGTAACAAGAAATTCTTAGGGATAAATACAGTTTGCTATGAAGCTTATCAAATAATTAAAATTTTTGTAATTGTTACGCCACACCTGTATGGTATGGTACATTACTAGTATCTTGAAGGTGTGGAGTAACAGGTCTAACTTTGATAAGATTGGCTCCGGAGCAGACTTCATCATAATGAGAAGTGTTGCATCTTTTTCTACCTTTTATCTAAAAAGCTTTAAAACAATTTTTGTGCCTGTTTACATATTAAAAAAGGAGAATATCTCCTAATACATGTATGTTTCTTTAGGTGGTTGTAATGGAGCATTACTCATTTTCTGTAAAGTTGTTGATTATTGATGTTTGTTGGAGTGTGTCATAGTAATTATCTGTACTAATGAAGACATCGTAATTATCTGTACTAATGAAGTTGTTGATTATTGATGTTTGTTGGAGTGTGTCATAGTAATTATCTGTACTAATGAAGACATCGTAATTATCTGTACTAATGAAGACATAGTAATTACTAATGAAGACAGAGTATGTGGATAACAGGTTTAGCAGATTGGGGATATCAAATCTGAAACTCAAATCAATAGACACTGGCATATCTTAGGATTTCTGGGATGAGATTTTTGGGATTCTCTTACTAGGGAGTATATTAGGATTCTTTAACCTTGCTAATGGGATTAAGTTCTTGGGATTCTCTGACCTAGATTCAGAGGGATTCCCTGACTTTGCAGTCAAAGTAAGATTCGGATTGAAAATAAGGAATAAATGAAATATGAGCTAGGTTTCACAAAATTCGAGAACATCTGATTTGAGTTCTGCGAAAGCAGGTAGAAAATGCACTTTTATGTACATGTTCACTAAACACTGTACTTCAGATAAAGTGATGGAGTTTCTTAATCATTAACAGTTACTGGTACATACATTTGTTGATCATTAAACAGTCTGGTGCTTTATCCCACCTCAGGCAGATCAAACATATGGGGAGGGATTAAGCTAATTAACAGAGGGTTTAAGGGGTACCTATCACATGCACTCAGATATATTATTGACAAAGAGTTCTCTGTTTGTTTACATAACTATAAATTTTGTTATTCAAAACAGTTCATTTAGTTAAAGGTTGCAATTTATGTGATGGGTTTAAAATTTTAAGAATATACAGAAAAAGGAAAGTTTATAAATGTAAAGAAAAAAAAGAGAAGGAAAAAATAACAAAGGTTATTTTACAATGTTAGTCATGATTAAGTTATCATTACACATCATAAGAATCCCATTCTTATGCATTTGCATATAGGGTGTACATCTAAACTGGAAAAATGCATCACAGTATGGGGGATTTTTCACTCTAGCAATCAATTTTCTTATACAAAGATTATATTTATTAACTAATTGTCAGTAAATGAACATATAGACCAGTTTTAAGGGAGAAAAAGTACTTTTCATAATATGTAAAGTATAAATTTTATAATACCATCCTTCTGCATTGATAATTTTTTTGTTCTTTAAACTTTTGAGAGCCCGATGATGAAAGTTCCCATGCCTGGCCCCAGGAAAAGGACCACAGAAGTGTTAAGTGGTTCAAGTGGGTAGACTTCACAAAGCCTCCTCTCAGCAGTTTTCTTTGTTAATTAAGCTTTGTTCTGTGGCATGTCAGTCAAGGGGATCATTTTAATTCCCTTCTTTATGATATACCGTTCATAATTTCAATGCTGCTACAATCAGCTGTTGATTAAATTTAATCTAATATTCAACACAAATGTTGCATTGTGCTCTCTGAAGAAATTGACCAGTTGCAGTTCACTGATGCAAAACATACAGCATTCGTGATTATAAAATCTGAAGTGTAGTTTCTTTGATCTCGACAATGTGTTTATAAAATTTTCTTTGATTTTTCTTAAAAGTTTATATTCCGAGAGAAATGTGATACACAATTACTCTTTGATTACTGTGACTCCGTTTGAGTTGAAATTCATGATAATGAAATCTGAAGTTTATTTCTTTGATCTCCACCATTTGATCATATAATATTATTTGATCATTATTGAAAGTTAAATATTCTTTAAGAAATGTGATACACATGCAGGGATGTATTATAACTGTGACTCCATTATTTTTATGGTTTTTGAGTTGAATTTAGGCCCCCCCTTTTTTTTTGAAGAGAGGTGTTTCTAAAGGCCGGTTTACACTATGCATCTTGACACATGCATCTAAACTCATGGTTCAATTTTGCCTCATGCATCTTCTTATTTACACTATGTGTCTTGATGCATGCATCTTTAGAATGCTTTGTAAAGATGAATTTTTTCTACTTAAAAAAATAGCAATACCTTCAAATTTCATTTCCAGATTTATTTTAGCTGAATAAATCATTCTTAATTTCCTTTTTATGATAATTCTTGGAAGATATAATTTATATTTATTCCAAAACAAAAACTCCTCTGTATTATAATAATCAAAATAAGTTTTTCTAATTGTAGTTTTAAGCAGTATTTTCTGTTTTTGTATATCTTGGGAAGCTATTTTTGAAACTATATGAAAAAAATAAAGCTCATGATTCAATATCAACTCTGACCTTTCTTTTCATTGGTCAGTTCCATGCATCTTGAAGCACGGAATAGAACAAGTTCTATTCCGTGGTTCAAGATGCAACACCCATTTAATTTGACACAAGGGGCTTTTACACTGTGAATCTTGACACATGCATCCAAGATGCATGTGTCAAGATGCATAGTGTAAACCGGCCTTAAGATGCATTTTAAGAACACAATATTTACGTGTATTTTTTAAATCTTAGAGACTGTGAACTTCTCGTCAGTAAGTGACTGGTTTTAGGAGATGGTTTACATCAGCCCCTGCTGCTTGGGGGGTATTTTATTGTGCTGGAAATTGTTAACAGCTGTTTACAGTATTTTGAGTGGCAGGAAATAAAAATACACTTAGTCAAATTGAAAGCTATTAAAGATTGAGGTTCTGCCATAAAACTTAAGAATAGAAAAACAAAAGTCTTGAAGAGATAACCCATGCAGAACACATATGTAAACAATTGATCGCAGAAAAATAAATATTCCTTTGCAAGTGAATGCAGGATGCATGTGTAGCAAGAATCACAAAGGACAAAAAGACTCTTTTGTTCTAATTTCGGCTTAATATTACTTGTGTATCAAATTATTCTACCTCAAGCTTGAAGATTAAAATCAAGTTGCTAGTGGTAATACTTCAGTAAACCTCAGTGTTTGTAACATCATACTAGTATTTTAGAAGAAATTATTTGTTGCAAGGTAAATATTTTTGTAATGTGGGAAGCTCTTATCTAAAATTATTAAGATTTTATGGCAGATTCCTAGCTGTTTCTTTTTCACACAAGATGGGGAAAAATTCATTGCATTAAAAGTATCTCACGGTCTCTAGGGAAATCACTTTGTTATTCATATCTGACTGTACACTAGATCACTTTATTTTCATGGGATTGATGTTTGGTATTTATAAGAGGAACACAATTTTTACAAATTATAGCTATTGCTCTTCATAACAGTAGAATTATAAACAAAAATGAAATTACTTTGAGAACAAAGACTCTTGAAATTAGGCGAAAAAACAAGGTCCTAAATATCTTTTTTAAAAAAATAATGCTTAGAAAAGTAACGGTTGATCAAAATTTCTTTTCTCCCAGGACTGTGAAGGCTAGGGCTGTCTTTGAGCATAAGATTATATAGGTGACACAGAAAGAGTTGAGGTACGTATTTTATTCAGGCCCATGGAACAAACTCTTTAGGACTTGTAATTTATATAGCCACCACCCTGTAATTGTAGGTAAGATCCCGCTCCAGGAGGACACGGTTGAGAGCCTTCTGTCCACGGCCTGCCTCCTTCAGCTGTCTGAGGTGGTAGAGGCATGCTGTAGCTTCCTCATGAAGCAGCTCCACCCCTCAAACTGTATCGGGATCCGCCAGTTCGCTGATGCTCAGGGATGCTCCAATTTGTACAAAGTCGCCAACACCTATCTCATGGTAAAATACATGTTTAGATCTAAAAAAGCAACTATATGTTTATTCCTGTATAAAGTTAATTTTCTCTTTCAACTGTTTCATTTAAAGGAATTAAATGTTTGCCTTTCTAAATGCTAGCAAGGACATGTAAAGCAGCAATAAACAAAAAGATTTAGGAAGACCATTATTTCATTTGCATTGTACAGTGCATTGAAGATGTCTATAATCTCTCTTTTCAGGATAATTTTGTTCAAGTAATGCACAATCAGGAATTTCTTCTGCTACCTGCTGATGAAGTCTGTCGTCTGCTTGCCAGTGATGATCTAAATGTTCCAGATGAAGAAACTATATTCCAGGCCCTGATTATGTGGGCTAAACATGATCTGATGAACAGAAAGAAATATTTATCCAAGCTTCTTGCCCACATCAAGTTACCTCTAATGTCTCCACAGGTAGGCTGACGCCAGCTTAGTGATTAACATTAAATTATTTTGAGGGATAACCATAAAAAAAGATATTAATTTCATTCCTTAATGGAAAGCTAAACTTTTTAATAAGAAAAGCTTTCTTTTCTGTTACAGTATAACCCAAAATTACATAATGCTCATTTCACAAAGATAAGCTGTGTTTGAAGGCGATGCCTTTATGTGTATTTATCAGAGTTGGACATTTATGATGTATTTTGAAGTAGATGTTTCTCTGTAGAGCAATTAAAACTAGTTCTGAAATGCCAGAAGCCATTAAAAGCAAACATTATCTCTGTGAAGCGGGCATCATTTCATTCTTATTGTGAAACTACTTCATCAGCCTTGCCGTCAGGAGAGCTATAATTCATGATTATTTCTGTGGTTCTGTTGCAGTATATTGCTGATCATGTCGAAACAAACCCATTATTTCGAGAAGAGAAAGAATGTCAAGCCCTGATCATGGAGGCCTTAAAATATCATCTGTTGCCAGAGAGACGGTCATCTTTCCAGAGTCCCAGAACCAAGCCCAGAAAATCCACAGTGGGTCTCATGTACGCTGTGGGTGGCATAGATTGTAACAAAGGTACTCAATCATAGCCATAGGAAAAAAATCAATGCCTTACAGATAATTAAACAAACTGCTTACAAAGGAGAGAACATAAATTTTGTGTAACAAAAAATTCTTGTTTAAGTTTGCTGGAAAACCCCTGAAAAATATATGTAAACTGTTTGTAGGTGCCACAACTATTGAAAAATATGACCTACGTACCAACTCTTGGACCCAAGTTGCCAACATGAGTGGGAGGCGACTTCAGTTTGGAGTGGCAGTAATCGAAGACAAACTGTACATAGTGGGAGGGAGAGATGGACTTAAGACATTAAATACAGTAGAGTGCTTCGACCCAAAGAAGAAATCCTGGAACCTGATGCCTCCTATGTCTACACACAGACATGGCCTGGGGGTGGGGGTATTGGAGGGACCAATGTATGCTGTGGGGGGACACGATGGGTGGTCTTACCTGAACACTGTGGAACGGTGGGACCCTCAGGCCAGACAGTGGAGCTTTGTGGCTCCCATGTCAACCTCTAGGAGCACAGTGGGAGTGGCAGTGTTGATGGGAAAGTATGTGGACCTATTACAGTACATTTTTTTTTGTAATGCCTGCAGAGTAGGGCTGACACAGAGAGATCATTTTATCTGGAATCTGTCTCTTTTGTGTAGAGTCACATTTTCTGAAAAATTAATCTTTAAAATAAATCTTTGAGAATTTAAAATCAAAGCAAGACACTAGCATTTGTCTGTATTTTAGTAAGGTACGTAGGAATGTTATAAAGTGCTGTAATGTTTGAATTTCATAATTGTAGTCAAAATCTGGGTGTTGTATTTCTGCCATACAGTCAGACATTTTGATTATTCTTACAGACTGTATGCAGTTGGTGGTCGAGATGGCAGCTCTTGTTTGAAGACAGTGGAGTGTTTCGATCCACACACAAACAAGTGGTTACACTGCAGTCCTATGTCTAAGAGGCGAGGCGGAGTGGGTGTGTCTACATGTAACGGTTTCCTCTATGCTGTAGGAGGTCACGAGGCCCCAGCCTCTAATCCTTCATGCTGCAGATTTGACTGTGCTGAAAGGTTAGTTGAAAGCCACTTTATGACTTTTATTTCAAACTCAACAACATTTAGTTCGAATTTTATCAAATGATTTATAAACATTCTAACACTGTTATGAACTTGTTAGATATGACCCTAAGACTGACCAGTGGACCATGATAGCTAACATCAGCTCCCCTCGTGATGCGGTGGGGGTGTGTATTCTGGGGGACAGGGTGTTTGCTGTTGGGGGATATGACGGTCAGCATTACCTTCAGGATGTGGAGTCCTATGACCCTGTCACAAACGAGTGGTCCAAGGTTAGTAAAAAAAATTGCTAAAAATAGTATTTGTAGATGTTCTAGCCCCCCATATATTAATGATTGATATATTAGATATTAGATATTTAAGCATAATAATGGTGTACCTTACAGATGGCAGCCCTTTGTACCGGCAGAGCAGGTGCGTGCGTCGTCCACGTCCCTAACAGTTGACATAAGAGGAAGTGGTCACTGTCTTCTCTACGGAAGTGGCCATCCGGATTCTTTCGCCGCAAGAACAAAAATCAGGACAGACATATGATTGTGTGACCAAATTTAAATGAACCAATCATCACGTTGACACTCTGCGGCCATCCACATATCAACATGGTGCTCACAGTTTGGCCTGAGTTGGCCAAGAATAGCCATTGAATTCAATGCAAATTGAAGCTTTGATGATGCAACAAATCGACGTCTCTTTTCAACCTGTGATAATCACTTTTTGATAAAAAGCTTTTATACCAAATAACCAACAGAAATGTAAAGAATGCTTTATTTTACGAGAAACATGAATTTAAGAATAATGCATATTATATATAAATTTTGAAATCTCCTTACATAAAGTGTTAGCCATGGGTGTACATGTATGTGAATCAAAGACTTGTGGTCAGTTTGTAGTGCTGTAGTGCTTATTCATGTGTCAGATCTGTCTCTATATGTTTGGTTCTATGTTCTTGAATTCATTTTGATTGGTAGTTTGTTAGTTTTTTTGGATGTATATATGTGAGTTTATTGTATGATGATTTTTGTTAGTTCATATAGTACTGTCAGTTAATATTTTGTGCAATATCCTTCCTATAATCCCCCAGTCTCCACTGCTAGCCTCATTGTTTGGTTGTCTGAAACTTTAAAATGATAGTTTCAATTGAAAAAGAAACAAAGCCTCTAATGATTGGTTGTAAGGTGTACATCTCAAAGTAAAACACTTTCTGATTGGTTGTAAAATATTTAACCATGTACAAATTTCTCCAATAACTATATAACCCCCCTGCTTCAGTAGATACACTGCTAAGATCTGAGAAATCAGTCATGTTAAGTTCAGCATTATCTGATAGATATTAGGCAGAGGGCATTACAGGTGTGACATTATATGCATGCCAGATTTACTTGCTTTTTGGTACATGTGCACATGCATGTCAGTATAGACTATAGTAAAATGCTTTTAATATTTTGCCTTATTGCTTGCCTTTCATTTTCACTGTTTGGAAGAAAACATTTGCAATTTAATTGAGTATACTAATCACTCTCTTCTTTTTATTAGATGCTGCACATTTTAAATCAATCATAATGGACCAATTTACAACACATTTATTCATAGGCATTTTTCAGAGCCATTTTATCTAATATTGCTCACAGCATACCAAATCATATTAACATCGAAAAACTTGTCTTCCCTCGTAATTAATCCACAAATTACAGTTCATGTGAAGTGCTAGTCATTGTAAATACTATGTAGATGTAGTATATGTTTATATAAGTTTGGATTGTTAGATACATTTAAGCATGAAGTTCACATTATATAAAAGGAGGACTAAGAGAATATGTACTGGCTTATTGCTACTATTTTAGTGCTAAATGGTTTTCTGATATTTTCAGTTGGTTATTTGTAGAGAAAAGTTTGTTGCATTTGAAACAATCTTTTGTGTATTTATATGTACATATTCTGATTCATTCTTTTAAACGTTTTTTATTGGATCTTTTTGTAAACATTTTTTGAACATAATAAAACTGAGAAATTTATCAAATGTCTTTTATTCTTGGCAACCAAGCAAAGTACAACCATACATTTAGTTAACATATAAATAATGTAGAAAACAATATCACATTTTAAAAATGCCTGGAATAAAATAAGCACAATTGTTATCACAGATTATTGAGTTGAGATCTCTATCAAGTGGACGGATCATGCATTACCTCTACAAATGTCAGTCAAATTCTGTAGAATGCTCAAAATAGAATATAAAATGCTTTTAGGTCACATTCAATAAATGTTTCTTTTCCTTTCATGATGAGAGCATAGTTACAAGTGTCCTGTTTCGGCTTTTATCAGCCTGCACTCCATTAACATTTTTTTTTGAGTTAGTTTCCTGTCAGGTGACTCTGAATTTCCACAGCTCGCTTGTAATCCTGAATGGCTTCGTCTCGTTTTCCCAGTTTGCCCAAAACGTCTGCTCTTCTCTTCAGCACCAGTGGGTCATCAGGTTTCAGAGAAAGAGCTGAGAATAAAAACAATTCATTTGTTAACTTTAACAAAGATACACTCCATTTTAATAATCATCTTAGAAAATGAGAATCAAGGCAGTGTGTTCCCTCAAGACAAAACATTTCTGCTTGATACAGTATTAGTTCAGATGGGGTCTAACCTTTAGAGTAATCCTTTTCTGCTTGATCGAACTGCTCCATTGAAGCATACAGGTTCCCTCTGTTGAAGTACATGTGAGCTGTGTGTGGACTGAGTTTAATGGCTGCCTTAAAGTCCCCTAGAGCACCCGGGGAATCCCGCATCATCACCTGATATATCACAGTAGTTTATTGGAATCATTCATTTTTTGGATTTTCTATTTATAATTTCAGTAAGAAAGGGATTGCAGAGTTTGACAATATTAGAGATAGCATATTTAAGGATGTTTGATTTTGTAATGCAGACATTAACATGTCACTCATTTTATTGGATTCTGAAACATAAAGGTGACCTACTTTTGTGATGGCTCTGTTCAGGAGGGCAGACTCATCAGCAGGATTGTGATCTACAGCACTGTTGTAGTAGTTCAGAGCCTGAAAAAAGAGAGGTCAGTGCATTAGCATCGTCGGTAACCCACGGGGGGTTTACATCATTTCCCTGCTTTTGGACTCAAAACCCTGGTTTGCAACGATGGAACATTATCTGCTAGAATCGGCCTAAAAAAATTCTCATATTACCTTTTACAGGTATAAAAGTTATGATATTTTAGGTTTGAATACATTTGCTACTAGAATTCAGATGTAGTTTAAAGCATGTTTTCAAGTCTGTTTATAAGGAATTTTTCATCACCGTTACCTGTTTGAAGTGCCTGGTGTGGAAGTAGACGTTAGCAGCGTTGAAGTAAGCCAGGGAGTAGGTGGGGTCCATTCTGATAGCACTCTGGTAATCCTTCATTGCATTCACTCGATCCTTCATGAACTGTTACAACATAAAATATATTATTATACTTTCATGTTAAATACATGTACTAAAATCTGATTGATTTAGACGCAGTTAACAATCCGTTCTATAACCCTTAGCCTTAGAAACACATGTGACAACAGGTAACACAACGATAATGTCACATGCGTGGAAATTATGCCCGTACAGTTCACCATTGAAATCTCAAAACGTCAGTTGCCCATTTGAAAGAAACGGAATAAACTTGACGTCAATAAAAGATTGTGTCCGATGTAGCTTACTTGAAAACACAAATGACTGGCAAAACATGCACAAATAACAAAACAGTTCTGCAGTGATTGAGATTCACTGTATGTTTGTGTGTTTTACCTGGTTAATGACCCCTCTATTGGTCAGCAGTTCTGCAGTGATTGAGGTTCACTGTATGTTTGTGTGTTTTACTTGGTTAATGACCCCTCTATTGGTCAGCAGTTCTGCAGTGATTGAGGTTCACTGTATGTTTGTGTGTTTTACCTGGTTAATGACCCCTCTATTGGTCAGCAGTTCTGCAGTGATTGAGGTTAGCTGTATGTTGTTTTACTTGGTTAATGACCCCTCTATTGGTCAGCAGTTCTGCAGTGATTGAGATTCACTGTATGTTTGTGTGTTTTACTTGGTTAATGACCCCTCTATTGGTCAGCAGTTCTGCAGTGATTGAGGTTCACTGTATGTTTGTGTGTTTTACTTGGTTAATGACCCCTCTATTGGTCAGCAGTTCTGCACTGATTGAGGTTGGCTGTATGTTGTTTTACTTGGTTAATGACCCCTCTATTGGTCAGCAGTTCTGCAGTAATTAATGTGGATAGGATGTCTGTATGTTTTACCTGGTTAATGACCCCTCTATTGGTCAGCAGTTCTGCAGTGATTGAGGTTAACTGTATGTCTGTGTGTTTTACCTGGTTAATGACCCCTCTATTGGTCAGCAGTTCTGCAGTGATTGAGGTTAGCTGTATGTTGTTTTACTTGGTTAATGACCCCTCTATTGGTCAGCAGTTCTGCAGTGATTGAGGTTCACTGTATGTTTGTGTGTTTTACCTGGTTAATGACCCCTCTATTGGTCAGCAGTTCTGCAGTGATTGAGGTTTGGACCCCTCTATTGGTCAGCAGTTCTGCAGTGATTGAGGTTAGCTGTATGTTGTTTTACTTGGTTAATGACCCCTCTATTGGTCAGCAGTTCTGCAGTGATTGAGGTTGGCTGTATGTTGTTTTACTTGGTTAATGACCCCTCTATTGGTCAGCAGTTCTGCAGTGATTGAGGTTCACTGTATGTTTGTGTGTTTTACTTGGTTAATGACCCCTCTATTGGTCAGCAGTTCTGCAGTGATTGAGGTTAGCTGTATGTTGTTTTACCTGGTTAATGACCCCTCTATTGGTCAGCAGTTCTGCAGTAATTAATGTGGATAGGATGTCTGTATGTTTTACCTGGTTAATGACAAAATAGTGAAACCAATTTTGTTATATGGTTGTGAAATATGTGTGTTTTACTTGTTAATGTTGCTCTTTAGAGAGACTTCATCTAAAATTTTGTAAGCATGTATTAAATCTTAGTCTTATGTAATTTTATGGTTATGGAGAACTATTGGTCAGCAGTTCTGCAGTCTATTAATGTTAAAACTGTATGTCTGTGTGTTTTTCAAAACTTGTGGTATCACAAGGCCCTAAAATGTCAGTCAAAATTTAATTTGTTTAAAAAATTTTATTACAGATGTAATGCTGTTAAAAATATTTTGAATGAGTGTGGATTGGCTTATGTATGGCAACCTCTCTATTAATATTATCTGGTTAAAGAACTAAGGTTGACTGTGTTTCTTGTATTTCAATTTAAACAATTGTCAGCAGTCTGCAGTGATTGAGATTCACAAAATGTTTGTGTGTTTTACTTGTTTAAAAACCCCTAACATTGGTCAGCAGTTCTGCAGTGATTGAGGTTCACTGTATGAAATTTGTGTGTTTTACTTGGTTAATGACCCCTCTATTGGTCAGCAGTTCTGCACTTGTGATTGAGGTTGGCTGTATGTTTTTTATTTGGTTAAATGACCCCATACATTAAGGTCAGCAGTAAATCTGCACTGATTGAGGTTACACTGTATGTGTTTTACTTGGTTAATGACCCCTTTAATTTCAGAACTGCAGTGAAAAATTGGCTAAGTATGTTGTTTTACCTGGTTAATGGAGAGACCCCTCTCTTGGTCAGCAGTTCTGCAGTGATTTTTTCACTGTATGTTTGTGTGTTTTACTTGGTTAATTCATTAATTGTAAATATTTTGTGTTATATCCTCACTGTATGTTTGTGTGTTTTATGGTTAATAAAGTATTGGTCAGCAGTTCTGCAGTGATTGAGGTTAGCTGTATGTTGTTTTACCTTGTTAATGACCCCTCTATTTGTCAGCAGTTCTGCAGTGATTATGGTTAGCTGTATGTTGTTTTACCTGGTTAATGACCCCTCTATTGGTCAGCAGTTCTGCAGTGATTGAGGTTAACTGTATTTCTGTGTATTTTACCTGTTTAAATGACCCCTCTATTGGTCAGCAGTTTTGCAGTGATTGAGGTTCTGGTTAATGACCCCTCTATTTGTCAGCAGTTCTGCAGTGATTGAGGTTAACTGTATGTAGTTTTACCTGGTTAATGACCGCTCTATATTGGTCAGCAGTTCTGCAGTGATTGAGGGTAACTGAACGTTTGTGGATTTTACCTGGTTAATGACCCCTCTTTTGGTCAGCAGTTCTGCAGTAATTAAGGTGGATAGTATGTCTGTATGTTTTACCTGGTTAATGACCCCTCTGTTGATCAGCTTATCTAGTAACTAAGGTTGACAGTTTTCTCTGTGTTTTACCTGGTTAATGACCCCTCTATTGGTCAGCAGTTCTGCAGTAGGAGCCACTCTGATGGACTCACAGATGTCCTGGAAGGCTGCAAACGTATTGCTCATCTGTAGGTTCACTATGGATCGACCTTCTAGGGCTGGTTTAAATCCTAAGGTAAAATTTAAAGTAAAACTTTTACTAATATCCTCATCATCCTTTTACATACAAAAAGTAAGCATGATAAGTATACTGTAAACCAACTTTTATTTGTGACTTTATTTTGCGATTTATCACAGGTAAACTAGTTGGGGACGATTAATTTTTGTGATGAAGCCTTTTTTGGATCAGTTGTTTATAGACACCAAGTCTTTAAGCACCAGTTCACAAGCGATGACAAGGCTCTTGTGAATCTTGCGAAAATTTCTCGCTCATGAATGAAAGTTGGTTTACAGTATAAAATTATGCTCTACTGTCACATAAACAGTTTAATTCAATTTTTTTTCCTAATATAAGGTACTGACTAGGATTGATCTCGATTGCTGCTGTGAACTGTCTCCAGGCATGCATGAATTTTCCTGACACTTGTAACGTGTACGCCAAATTAACTCGAGCCGGAAGGTGGAGAGGATTCTGCATCAGAACTCGCTCATAGTCCCGTCTGGAAGAGATAAATATTTAGATTATTTATCGGTCATAAAATGTATGAATCTAAAGGGAAGGAACACTGAATAAAAGTTTATACCTTGCATAAATAATTCCTCTTGGTGAACCATAATCCATGTACACATTACCACGAGCGATGATCCCCTCCACAAAGAATGGGTTCCTCTCCAAACAGGAAGTGAACACTCCCACTGCCTCCTTCAGTCGATCCATCCTGGGGAAAAAAATATGATATTTATAAAATTAAATAATTTAAAAACGCATGAATGCAATCTCCATGGAGACTGTAACTCACTTGTGATAACAAAGACCCAGTGTGTGTAGAATCCTGTAGTTTTGTGGGTCTAGTTTGGCAGCCATTTTGAAGTCATACAAGGCATTGGTGTAGTCTTTCTGTGAGAAGTACAGCAATCCTCTGTTGATCAACACCTGCAAGGGAAACACAACGAATAGAATTCTCATCTCAACAAAAACTCTTTATGGTTTTTTCATCTTTTTTCCAAACACACAAGAGTGACATCATCAGTAATTTTGTATGTACATGTATTAAATAAAACATTACAAGTTCAAAACACAATATCAGAGACTAGTTCTATACATACCCTTGTCTTCAGTCTGTCATCATCTCCAAGTAAGAGGACAATGCCGTAGTCTTTCAGTGACTGGAAGAAAAAATTCAGATTCTTGCATTCATGTATAATTTAAAAACAATAGTTAAACAATACGACAAGTGTGGAATTATTGGAATCCATCGTCTTTTACCGTACAATTGCTTGTAATATTCTGTAATAAAAGAAATAAAGTTACATGATAGCTTCCCCAAACACACAGCATACCTTGTGATAATTCTTCTTTTCCTGGTAGCAGACAGCTCGGTTGAAAAATGCAAGGTCACATGTACTGTCAATTCCAATAGCAATGTCAAGGTCACGGATGGCAAGGTCATATGCCTTGATGTGATACTTGAGAGCCCCTCTGTCAATAATATGCAACAAGTAATATATAAGTAATGGAAGTTATCAGAAATGGACAGAATTGGAGCATTTCTTTCAGTGAAGATTATATTTGATGCCTTAGCATATATGTGACAATATCTGAGACCAGTATGAGTAGGCTCATACACAGAGACTAGCTCTCTCAGCTATTGATACAAGTAGTCAAATACAATCAGTCTTAATGAACTGCTTGAACCTGTATAAAAACTCAAGTATTTATCACTAGTGGGAAGAAATTTGACTAATGCTTTTCCTATGCAAGAAATCTTGACACTGATTTTATACATCGAGTTCAAGGTACCTGAACAAGTCAGCTTGAAACTGAGTTTAGTTACTTTTACAAGTACACTTATACATCGAGTTCAAGTTACCTGTACATGTACAAGTAGGCTTGTACCCTAAGTTTGTCGGCTTGAACACTTCAAGTTACCAGAAAAAGAAGGCTTTAACACTTTAGTTACCTGTACAAATAGGAGCGTACACTTCGTGGTTGGAGTTTTGCTGCTTCGTTACAGTTCAGAATGGCTTTAGTGTAATTTTTTTTCATTCCATAATAACATGCTCTGCTGAGATAGGCCTAAAGCACAACAAATACAAACATTATTCACAAAGCTCTCTCCAAATGTCAAATTGTGTGACAACTCACTAGTTTGGATTTACCTGGAATATTCTGGGATTAATAGCCAGAGCTCGATTGAAATCTTGGATTCCCTCCCGACTCAAACCTCGACTACTCAGTTTCATCTTAGCCACTCCTCTCTGGTACAGAGCCTGAAAGATACATTGGAAATTTTAAAACTATCCATATGAATAAAATTAAATAGAAATAGGGAAGGTTTATCTGCATTTATGCAGGCTTTTGATTAGGCTTTATAATTATTCTGCAGAAACTGCCTAGGAAGAGGGATTTGATTTGTTCCTCCTTTAATAAAGTTTCATTTTTCCAGCAATATATCTGACCTGTGCATAGTTAGGGTTGATCTTGACAGCTGAGGTGAAGGCATCCTTAGCTTCGTGGTAACTCTTCAGTTCGATGTGACACATGCCAATCAGGAAATGACATTCTGAGGCTTCAACAGGCCAAGGTTCACGTCGCCATGGTTTCTAAAATATCAAGTTTATTTAGGTTACCTTCACTTACACTTAATGTATAAAAATATAATATTGAATAAGCATACAATTACAGAACCATGTGTTTATTATCTATCGACTGATTTTAGTATCTTATGACAGCAAAACATTTAAAGAAAGCATGCTGATATAATACATATATATAGTCTCTCTCTCTCTCTCTCTTATAGAAATTTTTTCTCATATAAGGCTGTAATTCAAAACATCACTATAAATCATACATTTCATCTTAATTGTTGGATATACATGTAAAATGGATGAATCAATTGCTCTACGATGTGTTGTAATTTTTAAGACAATTAAAAAAAAAACCTTTTTTAGATTTATAAAATACATGTAAAATAGCATTAAAAAACTTCTAGAATTAACATTGTAAAGTTTTAGTAATCTTAAGCTTAGTGTTATCAATGAACAATACATGTATTGGTTAGTAAAACTGATACTTGGTTACTTAAGATTTTATATATTTTATATCAAATAAGAGGCCATTTAAGGACCTTATGGTCACCTGAGTATAATACAACCCTGTAAGGAATCTTAATATATAATAACCAAAATTACTCCAAAGAAATTAAGAAAAAAGATGCCCAAGAATCAACAAAATTTTGCATCATAACCATGCACTTTTCCCACATAAATACCCAGAAGCAGAGAAGAAGACTTTCAAAGCTGGTTTAGCAGTTTATGAGAAGAAGCTGAAAATGTTTTAAAGTTTAAGTCTGCAGAATGACGGATGACACAAGACGAGGGACAAAAACAGATAGCAATAAGTCACCCGAGTGACTCAGGTGAGCTAAACAGCCCCAAAAGTAATATGGTAGACATACTCAATTATAAAATAGGCAGCTACTAAAAATATTCTAATTTGGCAAACTCTTATAAATATTATTATGCATATACATGTACGAGACATCTTAGAGCCAACTGTGGCAAAGATTGGCATGCTCAACATGCATTAAAAAGCTGGATATTTCATGCAATTGCACAACACATAGTTACACCATGGAACAATGTCACACCATCAGTCAAATACATTTGAAAGTTGTACCATTTTCAATGCAATACCATTTGTCACACCAAACATGCCATAAGCTTATATTAAATAGCCCACACCTATTCAAAATCAACACCTTAATCATCTTCATACCAAAAAATATTAAATGGAATATCAGATACTATAACATTACTGACTTTCGTACAGAACTTGAATTTTACCACAGGCTGAATATTTTCACCAATGAATCAATTGTGAGCTAGATCCATGATTAGTAAAACAACTTAGCTATTTGCTAGCAGCTCCTATCAAATGGTCTTTATAAACAAAGTTATATACCAGGTACCGGTACTATATTTAAAAAAACCCCAAATGTGCTATATAGCAAAAGACTCGTTAACATAAACCATTCAGTTATAAATGTTAAGTGCTAGTATCATTCAGTTTGATGGTCAATTAGATACCAGTACAAGAAGGCTTGTCAATTAGATAGAAAAAAATAACACGTTTAAAGATAAAATTTCTCTTATTTCCCCCTTAAATATTTGCATATTAAGTAAAGAATACGTTAGATTAAACTTTCTTAGTACATGTTAGCATGAAGGTTCAAAACACCAAATCAAAGAGGAGATACTGACAACTAAACTATATGTACCAAAATATAAGATTATATACAATACTGCATCAAAATATAAATGAAAGCAATGATACATTTAGCTGTAATACTGAACTACAGACTTGGCCCAAAGTTCCCACAAGATACCACTGTGGTACATGATTTTGTCTTACCCCATAGCTATCTTGCTAATTAAGAGAAACATTCATATTGTTACAGAAACATCAAATCAAAAACACCTTATACCATTATATCCCTTGTTATTATTCCCTTTAACTTTAATTCAGTAAGCTTTATGTTTATCATATTAATTACGTAATTAACCCAAAATGTTATGAATTTTACCACAGATCCATAAATGTTACGACACATACAAACAAAATTAGAATTAGAATTAATCAACATAAATTATTCACTAGTGATAATATAACTTCTCTAAATCTGGACAATGGTAAGAGCAGATAAAATACTTAAAACACCTACGTAGAGTTGCAAGGCCCTGTCGAAACTGGTAATAGCATCCTTGAACACCTTAGCCTGCATCTGTGTCTTACCCAGGAGCATGAACAGCGGGGGGACAGGTTTGACTTTTGTGGCTGCAGTCAGGGCCTCTATAGCCTGCAAAACAACAATGTAGGGGTTTATATAGAACTTTATTCTAAGTATAACTCACTACTGAGTATATATATACATATCAGCATGATGTGTAAATTGCCTAATTTCTCAGACGCATATGTAAGATCTTGAATGCAGTAAAGCAACAATTAATTACATATATGTCAAGTTTTATTTACCTCAGGTACAATTTATATGTCAGTTTGAAATTCATCCACAACTTTTATTTTCACTACTTATAAATATTGAAATATTCCATATCAATACACAATTAAATAATGACCAATAATAGTCGGGTGATGTCGTGCCCTACAATTTATGAAAAAGCTGAGAATTTTTCTCCTGGTTTTCCTGAAATAATTCAATATTTGCAGTACTTTTTGGCTGACATGCTCACCTTGTCGTAATTCTTGAGGAAGGACTGGACCACGGCTTGTTGTGTCGGCATCTCTCCCAGTGATGCGTTAGAGCTCATCTCTGAAGCATGTCTGTATAAATAACAAGCAGTAATATTATTTACACATGTACTGTAATTCTGTATCATATAAAGCTTTATATGTAGAATGTAACAGGCACACCACTCTCTGCCATCTCAAAGCAAAAAATGAGCAGGCAACAAAACGCAGAACACACAGAAACAAACTCTCAATATCCTGATACGTGTATAGAAATGATTAAGAATGTATTGAAAAAAAAACCCATAAGATTTCTTTGCTTAATATGAGGAGATAGAGTCTGTATGCCTGAGAATTTGGAAGACTTGAAGAAGAAAAAAATTAACAAAAGATGAACATGATGAAATATGGAAAATTTTCAACAGTCAATTCTAATTTTTTTTTTACTTAATCACATATATTTACATAGCATTTCTAGTTTCAGGAGTTATTTTCTTTAGGGACTATCTCAAAATACATGTACAGGTTACTGGTAGGATTACTGGTATTAAGGGCAGGGTCATTTCTTTTTTGCAAGTTACAATACTGAATAAGTAATAAACCCACTTTTAATAGTGAATAGTGGAAGTCTGACAGCATTGTAGTCTATGAAATATAGAACATCAAACTCAGGGTTTGGACAGATCAAATAAGTGCATTGTTAGTATGTAACATGTCAATGTAAAAAAAATTCCCCAAAAATTCTTAAACCATACACCCATGACAGAATGGAAGAGGAAAAAGGTAATAGACAGTATACCAGTAGCAGTGAAACAATAAAAATGTTTAAAGAATAACTGAAATTTAGTATGGAAACTAGTACATATGTACATATTTAGATATGATTTAAAATAAAAAGAGAAAAAAATCATTAACAAAAAATATTTTAAAACAGTAACAAAATGATACCATATTATATTATATAAAAGGTAGTAAAAATGTTACACCTAAGACTCTTCAGAACACCTTGACCACCTTAAGCATAGTAAGCTGTGACATTAATTATTACTATCCCTAATATAATTCATTGAACCCCAAAATAAAGAATGCTTCAAGCTTGAGCTGCATAGGTCTGAAACAGTAGTGACACTGGTATAGTGAAATAAAACACGTGCTCCCATACCGTGGCTTCTCTTGTTTGGTTTCTCTGCCTACATCAAACATCCTGATCAAAATAGGCACATATATTTCACTACACTGAAGCTAGAGGTCACAATAATTCAAATGTTTCTTGTACAAAGTACTTGAAACATTAAGAAAATGAGAAAATGTACACAGTTTAAATACAAATACATCCATAATTTTTCTATCAAACTAAATCTAATAAACTTTTTTGCACTAAAATAAACTCATTTTTAAGAAAAGTACTTTTTTTTAGTTTGGTCTAAGTTTTTGCTGAAAAATGAGGGAAAATATAAACATTTTTTTTTTCCTTCAAATGACCCATCTTACCTCACACAGAAAGCTGCTAACTCTAAGTTCCCAAGCTCTAGAACAAGTTGTCCCTGAAACAAGGAATTGGACATCACATATGCTCTAAAATGAATAAAGAAAAAAAATATCAAATAGTAGAAACTGAGTAATGATTTACCCTGTACATGTAGTAATGGTGGACATCTGGACGGAGATGAATGGCTCTGGTGAAGTCCTTCAAAGCAGCCTTCAACTGCAAAATTAAAAGTATCTCTATGAAATGAAATTCATTTAATTTTTTCCTTGACTGTCAAATACCTCCTCTTAAGCCTTTTTAAAAACTTGGATGACAAATTTACATACATCGTGGATTTTGTGGTATGCCTCCCCCCGGCAGACATATGCCCTCACATATGTGGGATCCACCTTGATACCAGCTGTAAACTTCTTTATGCCTCTATAAATATTACATCAAAATTAAAATTATACCATAATATAATATTCCCTAGTAAATATCATATTTATTCTTCCATATTATCTTCTGACCTATAAGGCTGCACCAGTCTAACCTGTGATAATTCTCATAATGGTTCATGTAAATAAGTCCTAGGTTCACATGAGCACATGCAATGTCCTTGTTAAGTTTAAGCACACTTTCAAAATCTGGGATGGCATCTTCAAATCTGAAAGTAAACCAAGGGAATACTGTAAGTAGTTTGTAGTTACCCCAAACAATATGAGAAGATGGGAGGTTCAATTTTACTTGAATAATTCCTTACTTTGTTTGCTGACAGGAATCTGTCTGAAACAAATGTCCTGATAACAATAGAGTTTATCTTGTTAGAAGTGTAAGATCCTTAGTCTACACACTCTGCAGTATTCACAGACCTCAAGGATCTAGTGAGTGTTTGGAAAAGTAGGGAGTGGTGATGTAACTTACCTGTTCATGGCGTTATACAGAATGCCCCGGTGTAGGTAGGACATGACATTATCGTCCGTGTCATTGATCAGGAGAGAGACACTGTAGTCATGTAGAGCCTGTTTGGGATGCGCCCTGTCCAAATATTAACTCAGCCATTGTAACACAATTATAATCATACTTATCAATACATCACCATTTTATATTTTTAAAATTAATAGACAGGTAAGGTCTTCAAAACATAAATGGGATGAAAAGAGTAAAAGCAAATTTAAGCATATTAATCTTTAAAAGGAGTGAATCCTATACACCTATAATTTAATTTGAAAAAGGAGGAACTGCAGCCAGATAGACAGCCTACTTTCTGAGTATACAGGCTCTGTAGAAGAAGGCCTGCCAGCTCTGGGGGTTGAGGTGGATCGCTGCTGACAGATCCTCCACCGCCGCGTTCCACTGTTTCTGTTCTGCCAGGGCCCGACCTCGATACATACGAGCCATCGAGTTCAGGGGGTCCACCTTAAGTAGGTCAGTGAAATCCTGAATGGCTGTATTCCAGTTTCTGGTCAACAAAGGTACATGTATTCAGAGAGAGGTAATTTGTAATCAAATAATTATCATTGTATCTCCAGTGAAAAGAAATAATGTATGTATTGACCATAAATAGTAATTTTTGTTGTAATTTGTAATGGATTTAACTCTTTTAATTGAACTCTATTAAATTTTGAAAACAACCTACTTCTGTTGGAAGTAGTACATGGCATGCTTTAATATGGCATCAGTTCTGGTGGGTAGGATCCTCTTACACATCATGTAGTCATCCAGAGCCAAGGGCATTTTATCAGTCTACAAAATTATCAATTATAGTCAAAATCAACTTCAAGTGGTACTGGAGTGTGTGTCCTTTAGTAGTTTTGAAATACAATTAAAACAGACCTTTTCATACATGGCAGCTCTCTGGAAATAGGCTTCATGATCGCCAGGGTTCAGTTTGATTGCCATGGAGTAATTAATGATTGCATCGTTAGGGTTATTCTCCTTTCTCAAAATCTCAGCCCTGTTCAAAATTAAAAAATGGAATAAACCACTCAGTCAGATAACAATTACTTTATTGCTTCATGCAATAGCTACAACTCCTATGATTACAGCAGGATAGAGATTTTTTTTTTTGTAAATGTTGAAAACTGGGTTATTTGAATCAGTATGTATATTTGGCATCATTGTAAATCTCTCTCAGCTATGACTTACATAGATCTATAGGCCCCTCCATGTCTGGTGTTGTACTTGAGGATGAAGGTCAGATCAGCTTTGGCCTGTTGTTTTTGGTCTCTCAGTAAATACAGCAGGTGCCTATGCCAGTAGGCATCCAGGAGTAGAGGCTCCATTTTGATGGCCCTACAACAACACAAATACTATCAGTTAAAATGTAGTAGAAAGCAAGAGACCTTTGTAATAATTTCAATACATGTAGTTATCAAGATTCATTATCAGATGTAGTTACTTACAGGTCAAGGTCAATCTGAGCTGCTTTTATCATCCCAACCTGAACACAATCAGTCGTAAAGTTAATAATATGACATGTTTATAGAACATTAGGCTAAAATACAAAATATTTTATATGTAATATTGTTCACTCTTACAAGAAAAGATACCAATATACACATACCTTTCTATACAATGCTCCCCTTCTACAAAGATCAAAAGCTTTGGGTTTTCCCTGAGCGATCAGAGAAGTTAATTTTTCTATCTCCTCATGTATGATCTAAAAATGATTTATAGATATTACTCATTTCAGACTTTCACTGTAAATTTATCTTCATGTAGCTTCCATTTTAAAGTAAAATACATGTATATTCATGATAAATTCTTGTTACCTGATGAAGTTCTATATTTTGCTCAGAGTCATCTAAAGGCTCAATCTCACTTAAGGCATCAGAGATATAACTGCTCAGTGAATCCTTTCTATATATGAAAAAACATGTTTGTTTATATCAAGTTATACCTTAAACTTGACAACATAATAGTTTGTTAAGTACAGATATTCCTGATTCTTTATAATTGGTTTTCGGACCCCCGTTTTGTACCTCTTTTTCTCCTTTTCCTTCTCCTCCCGTGTGGGGGACACCACCTCGTCCTGGGTGTAGTCCACTTCCTCCTCCTCTGACTCGGAGGGCGTGGGGGGGAACACCTGGTCAAACCACATGTTCCAGATATCGCGGACCCACTCACGCTGGTCTGTATCCTGACTGATCAACCAAACAAAATAGGGGAAATACATGTAGTGAAAAATCTGATCATCAAGAGTTAAGATGAATCTATTATTGACAGCTGATAGGTAATCTCTGGTATGATCTGATTAAAGTCATTCTCCCATTTAAAATATGTAATAAAAAGTGACTTTCTTTTTCTATAAAACCATTAAAACATATCTACTCTTGGTGTAAAAAAAACTCTGAGTCATTGATATTAATGAAAATATTTCATTGATAATGCAGAACTCTATTAGCAATTAATAAGTTAAACTTACGGCATTTTTCTGCCCTTTGCAAATGTGTCAAAATCCAAGAGATTTGGCAAGCTCAATCTTGAACCTAGTCGTACTTTCCTGAATATAAAGAAATATAAACATTACATGTATGCTATTTTTAGTGTTCAATACATATCATTGTACTTACATCTAAAACCATACTGTATGTAAATTATAGGCACTACTTACGAAGGAACCCTTAATTCCCTCTCTAAGGGAGGAGCCATTTTTATCATTGAGTTAGAGCGCTGGATAGGTTTGGGAGGGGCTCGGAGAAATCTCTCAATCTGTTCCAATCTCTCCATGGTGACAGGACCCTTCCTCTTAGACTTCTTCTTGCTCCTAGAGATTAAGTACAGAATACATATGTACCTTCATATTAAATTATGGTAGTAATATATCTTTCACCTGCAATTATAAATCTAAGATAAGCAATAACCTTTTTATAAGATGAAACTGTACTTTTTTTTTGTATTGAAAATGATTCAAAACTGTCAACATTTTCATTCAAAAGCAAATAATTTTGTGTTTTCTCTTTCACATCAATTAAATAAAAGCTAAATGAGTCAAGAGCAAAAGCTAATGCTTTATCACATCCATTTCACCCAAGTGCTCACTGAAAATCAAACATGTTCTCAACAAGCAGCAAGTAAACAACTCCAATCTTCATTTAGCAGCAGGTATATCATATAGATCAAAGAAATGTACATGTATCTTTTATACTTCATCCACCTGTTATAAATGTAATGTGAGTTCATGTTCTAATTTTGAAGACATCGTTTCTAAAACCACAAGATAGAGCAGTGTTAAACATGATATTGACTGATGAAAGGTTAGCAGTTATATTTCAGTTATTAGATTGTTCTTTAACCCAGGATAAAAATGAAAAATCATATTGTTAGTAATTCGTAAAAGTGAAATATTAGGGATTCAGAAAATCAAGGTGACTCAACCCATTCACGAGTCATCATAAATACACATGTATACTCACAATCGGGGTTTTCTACAATTTTATGTAGTAAAAAACATAAACTGGGGAACACTGATTCAGGGGAAAAAAGGAATTTTGAATGAAAATATGGAAAAGGAATGCTTAGTAATTTAACATCTTATTTAATTGTAATTCTAGAAATGTAAAACTTACTTTTTAGGAAGGATTACATATGCCCTCCCTGCCTGAAGGGCAAGCTCTGCTGGTGTAGGCTCATCTATAACAAAGACAAAAATATCTCTTGTAACTCAAATTAAAAGGTCTATTTATAAAATAACAGGTTTAATTTCTACAAGTGAAATATCAGGTATATTTCTACCATATACATTCTCAAACTTCAACAAATCTCCTTCATGCATCAAGCCTATCAAGCTGATTGATGTTTTCCTCTTTTACCGTGAATCTAAAAGAAATATCCAAACAAAAGGAAACATGTTAACAGAATCTAATGTTACCTTTCTTTTTTGGTTCTTCTTTAAATGTCTCTTCCCTCTCAGCTGCCAATCTTTCTAGCTACAAAAACAGAAACATAAAACTTAAAATTCCTTATTTTTGAATGACATTGCTATGGTCATAAAACAGCACCTGATGTTTCTGACCTATAGAATACCTAGCATTAAATCAATCTGTCACAAGAGCCTTACATGTTGTGTCAGTTAATGTTCCTAGTTTTTTTTTTTTTTTTGGAAATTGAGTACCACCTCTTCAAGTATCTTCTATCTTCATATAAATTATTCTTTTAAAACAGTAATACATAACACTTAGGAAATGAATATAATTTATAAGTAGTACCTGCATCTGGATTTGTTGTCTCTTCTCCTCTTCTCTTTCCTTGGCTTCCAGCAATTTCTTGTTTAATTTCATTTGCCTCACATGAGTTTTCTGATTGGAAATCTACAAAAAAGGAAATAAAACCAGCATTACAGGATGAATTGTCCTATGGTATTCTAAGGATTTGTTTCATATTAGATTTAATTTTAACAATTAAACTCCTAGTTTATTAGATAAGTAACCTCCTCCATGGCAGTGTTATAATCCTGAGGAACCAGTAAGGTGTCGTCCAGTCTCCTGGCCAGACCCACGTCAGACGTGCTTCTCCTGTAAGGTTCACAATATTTAATTATTTTCACTAGAGCTGCAATTATTTTCACTAGAGCTGCAGATTGTTAATTATTTTCACTAGAGCTTCAGATTGTTAATTATTTTCACTAGAGCTTCAGATTGTTAATTGTTTTCACTAGAGCTGCAGATTGTTAATTGTTTTCACTAGAGCTGCAGATTGTTAATTGTTTTCACTAGAGCTTCAGATTGTTAATTGTTTTCACTAGAGCTGCAGATTGTTAATTATTTTCACTAGAGCTTCAGATTGTTAATTATTTTCACTAGAGCTGCAGATTGTTAATTGTTTTCACTAGAGCTGCAGATTGTTAATTATTTTCACTAGAGCTGCAGATTGTTAATTATTTTCACTAGAGCTGCAGATTGTTAATTGTTTTCACTAGAGCTGCAGATTGTTAATTATTTTCACTAGAGCTGCAGATTGTTAATTATCTTCACTAGAGCTGCAGATTGTTAATTATTTTCACTAGAGCTGCAGATTGTTAATTGTTTTCACTAGAGCTGCAGATTGTTAATTATTTTCACTAGAGCTGCAGATTGTTAATTATTTTCACTAGAGCTGCAGATTGTGGCAAAAATGTACAGTCAAACCTTGTTATCTTGAACCTAATGCGGCGGAGATTTTTTTTTTTTTGACATGTCCAGGGATTCAAGATATTGAGGGTAAATTACAGGTACTAAAAGAATGTTTTAATAGACTAACAGTCAGTAACACTGAGGACTACTGGTCAATAACTTTTAGGTGTTTCATGTTCTGATCCTTAGCAGGTACATGTATGACTAAATTAGATTCACCCAATCAGTTTATGACAATTAATATAAGCTGCTTGAAAATATTGATCTAGACTTTTTCATGCAAAATGTACATTTCATTTTTTTAATATTTACATTTCTTTAAAAACTACATCTTGGATTTATTTTTGCCCTACCTGAGTGGTACAAACACAGGGAAGATCTCACTGTCTGTCATCTCAGTTGTTCTGGTGACAACAGGAGTCGGCTCTCTGGGCTCTGGGTCAGCAGGGAGGGGTGGGGGAGCAGCTATCAAATTGAATGTAAATCATATTTTAGTTTACTGAAAACCAACATTTTTTGAATATAGTAAAAATTTGTAGTTTGAACTGTATGTATCCCTTCCCTTTTACATAAATATGTAGAAAATGAAAATTCTTTCCCATCAAATACAAAAGGTCATTTTTTGACATGCCTATTAAAATTCAAAAATGTACAATATAGCAAAGTAGGTGTTTAATGATTCTACAGGGACTACCATAGGTAGAGAAAGTTTCTTATCTTCCCCGTCTTATACATATTGACCCCTTACTAGCTGGCCTCTCACTCTACAAAGGTTGACCAGTACCTTTCTCCAGTTTCTCTATTTCTTCTTTTAACAGTTTCCTGCTTTCGTAAGGGAATATCTTTCCATCTTTGATGTCATCCTCTCTTTGTTTTGCAGCTTTTGCAAAGTCAGAGAGGTCCTCCATAGAGGTACTCTTGAAATTCAGGAGTCTGAATGTATGAAGACATCAGGTATAAAGTAATGAAGCAAAATAAAAGAATGTTTTTAAAAAATTAAATCTGATAATACTTCAAATGAAGAGGAATTTGTAACATCTACATACTGTGAAACAACTTTTATATGCAAGCTAGAAATTCTCACGAGTTTTGCAAACTACATGTACTCTAATTCACAAAAAATATGAATTACTATGCACCACTTATTTTGCTTTATATTTGTAGAGATTGACTCATCAGTCACAATAATTGTTTCAGATCAATTTCAAACTGACGACTAATGACTGATGAATAAAAGATGATGCAAAAAAGTTCGTTTACAAAAATTGTTATCGTTAGCATTTCATTGCCTTTCAGTTTTCTCTCAGAACAAATTTTTATTTCATAACAACCTGATTTCATAATATACAAATTTTATTGTTTTTCAGCTCATTCTATCAGCTGATTTCTTATTACCTGTATAACTCCTGATATCTCTCCTCAGCTGAGTCCACGACCTCCATTTCTTCCTCCTCTTCTGAGCTCTCTTCCATCTCCTCCTGTTGTCGCGTGGCCGCTACTTCCTGATCATCCAGTCCCAGCGATGCCGGCTGATAGTCTGGAAACAAAATGTCCTTAACCTTTGCTGGCTGGACATCAAACTTTGGGGGAGCGGGTGTCCAGTACAAGCGAGACTCGTCAGATTTAACTGATATTTTTGTTCCTTCCACTGACACAGGAACAGAATTAAACTGAAAACAAAGAAAAACTGAGTAAGAAAAGGTTACACGCTTATTTCGAAACTGTCATCCATAGTCCCATTCATAATAAATATCATTTAAGATGCATTACTTAATGTCTAGATTAAATAAGCCTGCTGCCATCCAGAAAATACAGAATCCAAAGATTAACCATATATACCCCTAGATGCCAAGATTGAACCAAGCAAACCATATTTTTTAATTTGTATAAGGATTTTATCTGACAAATAAACAACAAAAGCAGAATCTGGAACATGAGTGGTTTCATGCATCCCTTGATGCATAATAAAGGAGTAGATGATCTTCAAGATTTCTTTATCCTTTTTCATAATAGCAATCCTAACCATGCCTAAATGAGGTAAATGAATTTACACTATGGTAACGTGATGTCTATCACTGAGGACTCACCACTTCATTTGCCCTCTGTTGCCAGGCCTCCAGAGTTTCCTCTGTGTCCTTGGACTCCTCGAGGACTCGTCGTGCCGCCATTGTCAGTCTCCGCTCCTCAGCTTCCTGTACAGCTGTAGAACTAGAGTACTCTGATGCCACATCCTCCTGCTCCTCCACTGGCTGAGGGCCACCTATGTACTGTCACAGAAAAGTGAAGTTCAGTATAACATATCAAACTTAATTATTGTCAGGAAAAAAAACTAATGAATCTTTCTCACATGCAACAAGTCATGTTTGACATGACATTATGTCAAACCCTATACACTGTAGTGGGATAAACTATTTAGTTATTGCTATAAGTAACCTACCCTGGCTGGTAGCTGAGCTGAATCAAACTTGCTGGGAGTGTGGTACTTCCTTCCCAGATGTTTATACTCATCAGGAAGCTGGTAATCATTATTCACAGTACAGAAATGATGGACATGCTTGGCTGGTTTCTTCTCCTGCTCCTCTATCTCAGGTAGTTGGTATTTGGATGGAGTAATAGGTTTCCAGGTGGAGAGGAAGGACACAGCATTGGAGTACACTGTGATGTTGTTAGTCACTGGACCCTGGGCTGGCTGTCTGTTGACCAGGTCCACGTTTTTCCCCTGGACACTGATGATATCTTCACAGGTCACCTCAGGAGGGGCCATGAGGTCCTCCCAGGCCTGTTTAATGTCTATCACCTCCTCCTCCTCACCCTCCTCAGACGAGGACTCATCCTCAGCTCCTCCCACATCAGCCAGCTGTAGGGAGGGAACCTCTGCTGGCAGGGACTGGGGCTCAGGGACAGCAGGTATCTACAGAAAGACAGAAGCTTATAATCCTCTGGTGCATGATGACTGAGGTCAAGGCTACTTCATGTACAGGTAGGTCTGGTGAATTTTTTTCATATCACCATATAAAGGGATGATGCACAAATATATTTGATGTAAGTATAAACTGATATGTTTAAACTAGGGATGTCAAATCGGTCAATTTTTAATACTCGGTTACTCAGACGTTTTTCCGATCGAGTACCCGGGTACTCGGTAAAAGTGTAAATAAATATGAACAAGTTAATTGATAACTGTAAAACATTTTAAACTCTTGTAGAAATAAAACCGATGGGAGGTTACCTGCAAATGCGTTGTAAAAATTATTACCACTTTGTCGCGGGCGAAATTTAATCTTACATTTTTTTAAAGTTCAATTTATTTATCAGATAAATACGAGAAATAAAATATATGGTTCACAGTGTTTTTGTTTAAAAAATAATCTGTTCCGTGATTGTAATATAACTCTTTGGTGCGTTTGACGTCCAAGTGATAAGTTGTCTGAGCTACATGTACGGTATAAACTTGATCAAGTTATCCTAAAACAGAGATTTATACGATCTTCGTACACTTTTTGATCCTAGATTTCATAAAATTACGATACGGTATGTTGTAGTTTGGAGCAACGATGGACATAAGATTTTTAAAGCATTTGCCTTCAACCATTTGCATTAATTGGCATGTAATCAAACGCATTCATATCAACAATCGCACGTGCAATATCGTTTCCCCGAGAATTTGCGGCTTCTTGGAGAATTGACAAAATTATTTGATTTATTTAAATATAATGGACCTTAAACGATGTTCGATGAAAACAAATAATTAAAGCAAATTAACTAAACATAAGGGTAGAAAACAGTCGAAGGTGAGAAAAGCCAGGTAGGTACATCAGGTGTTTGGTCACGATAATTACTGTATAAACACTGCCACAGGCGGTAATGGTCATTTAGAGGCGTAGGAAACCCTAATTACTGTTTGTACAATTTTACGTTTTAAAACCGATTTTTTAATGCATTAATAAATAAGCTCAGAAATATTTAAAAATATACATCCGAGTAACCGAGTACCAGTTTTAGTATTCGATACTCGGACGATGATGCACAAATATATTCGAGTACCCGGTTAACCGGGTACTCGTTGACATCCCTAGTTTAAACATAAACATAATGCAATAGTTCTGTGATATAAGTTTGAAGATTTATTGGTCATTTATACAACCTCCCTACTTACTATTGTTTCCTCCTCTCCTGTCTTGGCCTCTGAGGTCAGGTCCTCACTGGGAGGTATTTTGTCCCCCTCCTCAAGCTGCAAACCTGAAATTATCAAAAGAAGACTTTAATTTTGATATCCTTATCAATTAATTCTGGGTGTATTTACTCTAACAAGGAAAATATATCATTTATTGTTGGACATATTTACAGGGTATTATATTTCATTTATTGCTGGACATAGATATGTGGGATTAGATAAAAAATTTTACTGGACGTATATACGTGGGATTAAATATTGTTGTCCTCACCTTCCCCCTCCTCCTGCTCCTCATCCTCGGGAATATCAGCGGGGACGTCAATCTCTTTCTTCTCTGTTTAATGAAACATTAAGTTAAATATCAGACAAAATAAAATTCCACACTACATTGAAAATTTTAACTATTATGCATTACTCATAATACATATTTGAAAAAAAAACCCATTGTAAATACATGTAAATATTTGTGAGTATATTTATCTAAATATGCTCAAAGTTGGTGAGTTTACTGCAAGCTTTCACGAACATTATAAAACAATCCACAATCAAACATTCTAAAGCCTTACATATAAAAAAACATTTTTGTGTGAGCCTATCAAAATATGATTATCACTTGAGCATGAGGAAACTCCACAGGATGCTATGTATCTCCCATGTACTCATTCTGTAACTTGAGGTAATTTACTTCATAAAGTTAGGAGAATCTTAATTGTCACAATTTTTCTTTGCTAGGAAGGTACATGCATCTTCAAACTTTATATGATTTTTTTTTTCAAAAAAACCTTTGGATACATGTGTGCCTATGAATTAAATTGATTAGATTGTAAGGTGAAAATATTTAATCATGCTGAAACAGGATTTTTTTATTGCTTTGGGACAAGGCAATGGTATTTTTTTAAATAAAGACAAGTTACAGTTGGATTAATAGGTGCCTTTCAGATAATGTATTGTGAAATCACTAATTTTTGTGAGGGGTTAATTTTCATTGATTTCAAGGTATGAAGAGACCCTCGAATTTATGTCCACCACAAAATGCAATTTCTCACATACAGCAAAATTTGGTTATAAAGAAGTCACTGGGACCTATGAAATTACTTCGTTATATCCGTAATTCATTATAACCGTATAAGAAATTCATTAAATTAATATACCTGTGGATCCAATATGACTTCGCTATAGCCGTAAATTCGTAATATCCGTGTTCGTACTAATTGAGTTCTGCTGTATATTACTATTGAATAATTCTTCAACCACAAAATCAAATCCCCATGAAGCAATATATTTTCCTCAAACCATGAAAATTTGACCCCTTGAAAATAAGTGATTTTACAGTATTAAAGTTGCCCTGCTTGTCTTCATCAAATGTTTTGTTTAAAAAAGCAATATAAATAGTAAAAACATGTAATTTGATTTTCCCCAGCAATTTCATACATTCAATAATATGTACAAAATATTAATTTTACATGCTGCTTATTCGTGGGCTAAATACATGTAAAATGTTGATATGTCTGATTCAAAGAAATTACTTATTAAGATTCAAACATTCCTAGTCAGTTTATGTTAGCAATACTGTGAGTCTGGGTGGATACATTTAAAATATCATTCAAAATCAACATCATGGTTATAAATGGTTAGGTTGTCATTAGTATACTGGGTAACATCATCAACAATAGACATGATTTACCATCCTGATCACTCTGTGAAGCGCCATCTGGGAATGGGGTGTGGGAGGCCTCCGAATCGGAATCTGTTCACCAGTCATTCATTATACATTACATACATAACTGAACAAGCTTTTTCTCTATTTGCAATTTTCTGACAAGTCATTAAGTAATGCATTAAACATTTGGCTTATCGTAAAGGGGAATAACTCTTACCTCTCTTGGAATCCAGTGCATCACTACCATCACCTGAAATCAATAAATACTCAGTGTGTATGGTTGTAATTAATGATATCTACTATTAATTTTATCCACAGATATTGATTATAAAGACTTACTGAGTACAGCGCTGGCCCTGGACATCACTCGGTCCATTATTTCCTGGATTTTTCTGTCAGCATCAGACACCTGACTGTTTGAGGGAAAATATATTTAAAATATATTTATATTTATTTTTTTAATGAAGAGTTTTTTTTACATACAAAATAAAGATTGATGTATGATATTAAATGAGTATATTTTATAAAATAGAAAGCCTGTAGAGGTATTAACCATTTTTTATCCTAAAGTTATCTTTGCAATACTTATGTTTGAGCTCCTGAACTCTGAGCTCTCAGTGATGCGATGATCTCGTCTATGGAGCATTCAGATCATAATACTTACATGCAAGCCCCTAAACTCTGAGCTCTCAGTGATGCAATGATCTCGTCTATGGAGATTCAGATCAAAATACTTACGTGCGAGCTCCTGAACTCTGAGCTCTCAGTGATGCGATGATCTCGTCTACCGAGCGTTCAGATCGTGGGCGGGGCTTCCCATCTGTCTCCTCCTCCTTCTCTTTACTTTTCAATTTTTCTGTCAATTTTAGAAGTTTTAAATCATAACTGAATAAATTTTATCTATTTAAACTAGTATCCTAATCCAATGACTTAGTTTAAAGACAAAATATCAGTATATAGAAATAATAAACATAGTCAAAATTTATTCACATATGAAATAAAAAGTTTGAAAATCTTAATGCACTGCTGTATAAAGATTCAAATATCAATTATCTGCGCTAGGCAGTTTACTTTTCACTACCTTGAGCTTTCTTGTCTTTCTTTGTGTCTTTTTTCCCGTCCTTTTTCCGTGGAGATTTTTTGCCCTGTAATTTCCACATTGGCTCTGCCCCAGGCTTAGTAATTTTTTTGGCCTCCTCCAATAGATCTTTTGTTGATTTTGCCTTAAAATAGATTTAAAAATATGATATAAGCAGATAACTACAAATTACATAAGTCTGAATTCTGAAATGCTGATTTGGAAAACTTGCAATTAGTTTTTAGCATGTAGCACAATTTTAGCAAGATCAATGTACATCATATATGATTATAATTTAATAATAATCATTAATCATATTAAGTGGATCTTTTACAACTCTGATTAATAATAATAATAGAAAATTTGAACTTCAATTTATACAAAAACCCTGACCCCTCTAGCTGTACAGTAGTTGGGCACTGTTAACCCCTGACACATACCGACACAGCACTGGTAGCCCTGCCTCCCTCTTCTTTTGATTCCTGATGACTGACAGCTGTCTGAAGATCATCGTCAATTCCTGCAATAGCTTCGTCATAGCGACTGTAAACATTCTCATCTGGTAGCAGGTTGTTTTCACTTTTTAGGGAGGTAGCCACACTGAGAGCACTTTCTACTAAAACAAATTAAAGTTTAAAAGTTATATAATTCCAACAGCTGTATATTTGAAAAAAAAAAATGCTTTAGCAAATTCACAGCCTTGCAGTTTTTTTTAGATACAATAAGAAAAGATGTTTATTCGGTACTTAAAGGCTGTTGCCCACTGTACATATATAGGCATCATATTCATATGTGTCATAAGTTTCTTTATCAAACCATATGACATATGTTAATCTTAATTTATTAACTATGAATTTGAAGTATGAAATGTAAATAATTCTTTCATACCAACTCTCCTGTGAGTCCTTTTTAGAGAGGAGAATGGGATGGAGGGTTTGGGCCTCTCTTTGAAGGCCACCCTCTGTAGTGTCCCCTCAGACATCAGTATGGCCGGCTTTTTCCCTGTCTCCTCACTATCGTCGACTTCCTCCTCCCTCTCTGTCTGGACTGGTGTCTCCGTGGGAGTTTCCTGTTCTGGTGTCAATGGGGTGAAAGCTCGCATCTTATTGGCCTACAGTAGATTGTCACAAGAGCTTCTCATACAACTGAGATCAAAGGTATGCACTATGTAAATGCTGACTGGCTATAATTTAAATGTCATTATATTTCATACATCATAGAGCTTAGTTTTTAACTAAATTAAATTATTTCATTCTGGACTAGATAAAAGGTAACAAATTATAAATCACTGTTATTTGGTTCACAAGGTTTAAGATTAGGGTCAACAATCAGACCGAATTTACCATCTTATTATTGATGGCATGGAATCAATTGTAAGATTGATAGTCTGAACTTTAATTAAAGATTACATTAATAAATTAAAATAGGTTAATATTCTGAGGTCCTTGTAAATGTAAACAATATTTAAATACAAATCTGTGACATCAACATCAAAATATGCTTAGTTGGTAAGTTTTTCATTTACAAGAGAAACAAAGTAAAGTCTTTTGATATGGTTAAGAGTTTGGTAAAACAATTTTTTTTTTTTAAATTAATGAGTTTCAATTTTGAAGTTTTCTATGATTGCAGTCACTGTGCTGCTTTCAGAGATGATTTTTCGATAGTTGGCGAATATCGTATCAAGTAATCAACGGTAGTTAAGATTATGCAAAGATACATTATGTGAAATTCACAGGATTTTGAGAGTAAGGTTCATGCTTTAAGCTATTCCTCCATCAACCAGTAACTTGTGATAAAATAGTGGAAAATTACAATATGTGAAAGGTGTCTGTTTATTTCTTTCATTCAAAAATGTGAATGAAATATAATACATGCTTTTGACATTTATCTTGTGTTACGAAGTCTGTTAAAGTATTTTAACCATGCATAAATTCATTAATCAGCAGACATATACAATCTCTTGCATTTAAAAAGACAGGGCTTCATCTTAAAACCAAAAACCAATCATGCTTACCGGAGAGTTAACCTGGGAACCAAAATTAAAGTATAAAGGATTAAAGCAAACCAGAAAACAGTTTTATTTATAGCTTTTAGAACCTTAAATGAAGCAAAAAAAAAAAAAAAAAGGAAAAAAAATAGTTGCAAGAAAAAAAATAAATGAATTAATGTACTTCTTCGTCCATCCATTAAAAAAAGAAAAAAAGAAAGAAACAAAGAAAAAATTTGAAGAAAATACTAAATGAAATTAATGTACTCTTTGTTCATTTATAAAGAAAACTCAAACCTGCATCATTTGTTCCAGGGCCGAATCCTCTGATGTTAGGGCAGGCTTTCCTTCCATAACCACCTTAAGACCAGGAACATTGACACTATAAAATCACACAAAGAAGTGGATACATACAATTACATTATGGAAAAGGAAGGTATAGGGGTGAGAATAGAGTTGAAAAAATATTTCAAATATAATTAATCTGTATGATTTGTTGTGTTACCTAGACCTAGTTGGTATGATTCCTACAGAGGACAATTTTGGTTTCTTCATGTCTGCAAACATAATAATATTTCTGACATTTGTAATAAAATATCATTACAAAATACCACAAAATAAAATCAGATATCGTTAAAATCTAACTAAAAAAGAAAGAATTTCAAATAATAAAATGGATTTCATTTACATATCAAAATTTTTGTTGCTCAGAACATACCCTCTGTGGTAACTGTTTCTTTGCAGAAAGGCAGTTTTCGTGAGTGTACTCTGGCGATTTTGGGGTCCACATTATGAGATTTGTCAAGAGGGTTATAGGGAGGCTCTGTCACCGGTTTTAAAATAAACTTTGGGTCCTACAACAGCAAAATAGATGATGTAGCTGTAAAAAAAATAAATATTTGTGCTTGATGTGTTTCATTGAAAAAATAATTGTTACTTTTTTGGCTGCTTTTGCGAGAATGTCATCATGGAATACAGGCTCTGTTTTCCTTTTTTCTTTGCGTCTTTCTGGTTCAAATGACGGTTGGAGTCTCCTAGATGGAAGGTAAATACATATATTACATTCATAATTATAAAAATCTTCTAATGTCAACATTATCTGTAAGGGCTAGGTTGAACATCTAAAGGTTTTTTTTTACCCCAGAGCCACAGCAAACAAAAATCTTACTTTGTTGTGACAGTTTCTTCACTTTGTGGAAGTTTAAGTCTTTCTTCTCTTTTAACAGCTATTTCATTCAGAGACTTTTTTGCCATGTCATCCAGCTCTTTGCGAAGGGTGAGCTCCACTTGTCGATTTGTTCCAAATTTAAAAGAACCTGTTCCATTTTTGTTACTGGGCTGTAACTCTCTTCCCGGCATGATGAAGCCCTTATCTGCTACAAACAGCATAAGATAACGTCATTAATTTAATGATCTCATATCAGAATCAGTATATTAAGTACTGTGCAACACATCACTGCATGACACATTCTTCTTCTTCTTCTTCTAAATGCAACAAAACTTCAGAGCGCTGAAGATTACTTGCTGGTGTGCATGCATGACCTAAACAACTCAATATAAAGAAAAACTGTTCTTTTATTTACAAAATTAGTGATTAAAAGAAATTGTGAATGTTATTTTTTACATGATTGTGTTGAGAACAGCTGGGGTTAACTGTTCTCTAAAAATGTCTACTTTAGTGGTTTGGACGACGGACTGGGGTAGCAAATTCCATTATATAATAGTGTGTGGAAAAAAGGACCATTTGAATGTTTCTTTTGATGCTTGTAAGTGTCTGTATGTTTGTGTGTGATTCTGTCTGGTCCTTGTATCTGTAGGTATGAGTATGTGGTTTTGAGGCGTCGCTCAGCTAGTGTTGGCCACTGTAGTGTACTAATCATATCTGTAACGCTACTGGTATTGTGGTAATTGTTATGCACATAGCGGGCGGCCCTTCTCTGAACCATTTCAAGTTTTTGTCTATACAGTGTTGTATGTGGATCCCAAACACTACAACTGTACTCTAATTTAGGGCACACTATTGCTTAAAAGTCTCTGGATTTTACTTCTGTGTTTGAAATTTTTAGATTACGTTTAAGGAATCCTAATGTTTTATTGGCATCTGCAATAATATTGTCATAATGTGTGTTCCACTTTAGATTTGACTGTAATGTTACACCTACATGTAAATACTTGGCTGAGCTTACTGACTCAAGTACATGATCATGAGAATGTAATTTTGAGAATATGTCTGTTTCTTACGAGAGATGGTGAGTTTAGTACACTTGTCTGGGTGGAAAGCCATAAGCCAATCAGACTCCCACTGCGCAGCTGCATCTAGATCTGATTGTAATTTGTGACAGTCTTCTGGTGATTTTATTTCTTTGTAGATGATACTGTCATCAGCAAAGAGCCTTAGTTTACTGTGATGGAGATATTCAGGGAAGTCATTTCTTCTGTAGCGTTATGGTTTTATATATTTGTCTTTGACAAACCACCTTCTAGTGTATTGTCGTGATTGGTACTATGTACACTTGCCCATGGGGAAACAACGATCTACTTTACAGTTCATAAAAACCATTCTGACACATTATTTAACTAATCTGTATATTTAATCATCTCCCAACCCTTTATATAGTCGTCTCTACAAGTGATGTCGCTTGATTAAAATTATTTGTTAGATTACTGAAAATTCATATCCAGCGAGTTTATTGTAAGACAACGATAAATTGGGGAGGTGGATAAACTGTTACATATTGGCTACAGAATGTGACAGGCACAGAAGTGGAGGTAAATGCCATTTAAAACTAGGAAGTTTGTGTTCTATCTGATAGAAAATCATGAATCCAGTTCAAAGTCTGTTGTCTGGTGCATTTAAAGTAAAGACAACTTGAAGTCAACTGCTTGCATTCCTAAAATTGGATGATTTAACAATTTTTTAAGGCAAAGTCTAAAGTCTTGTGTTAAAGTGAAATTAAATTGAAAAATTTTATAAAAATTTTGTGTTCTATCTTTAAAAATCAAAAATCCAGTTCAAAATCTGTTGAAAATACCATAGAAATTTAAAACAAAACTAAAATGGGGATCCTTATCAAAGACTTTAGCAAAGTCCATTATGATTAAGTCAGTTTGTATGTTGTTATTGTTTTTGTATGTTAGTTCTTGGATAAAATCTATTAATTGTGATTCACAAGATCTTGATTTTCTGAACCCATGGTGTAAATCATATAAGATCTTATTGTTTTCTAGATTGGCCATGATGTTGCTTGTGATTAGTGTTCCATTAACTTGCAACATATGCAAATCAATGATATATATCATTCTTTTTACATGAAAATATAAAAATGCATGCACACAGCAAGCATTTTCATTGATCTTTGGACAAAATATAGTTACATCATAGGTTCTGTATATCCTATTTCCTGTCATACAAATTTACTGCAATACAACACTGCTGCAAAAAATCTATAGCTTGGTTTGAACATTTTAAAATTAAAATCGAGCACTTGTTCAGTTGTCAAAGGTCAATTTTAGATTATATTTCCAGCTGATGGTCAAAAATCGAATAATTAAGTAATTATTTTGTTTCACATTTTATCAAAATTATATGGATACGACCTTTACCTTTGTCAAATTATCTGGATGCGCCTTGTTTATTCTGACAATGAGTTTATGTTAAGCTTGCTCCGCCATGTTGTTAATAGGTTGGTTGACGACAAGATGCAGACGGGGTTTGACGATTGAAAGAAGGTTAAGAGAAAAACTTCGAATGGAAATAAATGGAAATCCATAAATGCATGATCTGAAGTGCCTTAGAAATACAATGATTTACCCATTTTACCAGCATTTCAATTTAAATCTTTTTAGATATTTTGTACTTAAAACTATTCTTAATACGAGAACTTAATTATGTATACAACACAAAATTGATACAAATATATAAATATAGAGTATAAGTAAATATATCACAAAATTATATAATTGATTTTTATCTATTTCAGGCTATTTCAGTGGTTATATTTGATAAATTCATTTAATACGAATATTTTATAGTACGATTTAGTCACACACCTTCAACATGTCTGCGCCCTTGTAAATCGACGATATTTCTATATTCATAAAAATGAGTTCGTCAAAAACAGCAACGTTTATCCTACGGAATAACCGTATCAAGAATATGAGATTTCCAAGAACAAGTGAGTGTTATATTAAAATTTTAAATAATAGGCATGTTTACTTGTCAGCTCGAGTTATCTCAGTCTCACGTTTTCAAACAACAAAGTAGCTGCAATTATGTAACCCTCTTTCCTTTCTTTGGACTTGGTTCACACAAAGATCTTAAAAAGATGGAACGGAATGTTCAACAACCTTAAATTTGTGCATCTTTGTAAAAAAAAAATAGCAGTTCTGAAACCCATTATTGAAGCATAATATTATGTTGATGGTTTGACTGTTAGGGCGAGCGCAGTTACTTTTTCAGTTTTTATTTAGTGTGGATCGTCAAACCACATGTGACATTTGTTGTGTCTAGACTCTGACATCACATGACAACATATATAAGTTACATTGCCACACTAAAGCCTGAACAGGTCCAGGAAAATCACTATATTTAACTATATAGTTAAATCTACCTATATAGCTTTATTTACTTATATAATATAGCTTTATTTAGCTATTTCAGAGTAAATTTCTGTTTTATGAAAAGCAGACAAAAATTCGCATAATGAGTCAATATTAGTTTTCAACTTTGAAGTGGACTGAAAACAATTGACTTATAAAAATTGTGCAATTATAAAAGTTTTGGGGCTATGTTTAACAGTTAATCTGTGTAACATACACAAAGAAAACAGTTTTGGTCAACAAGATAATTGATTGGTAATATATATAAGTTACATTGCCACACAAACAAAGCCATTTTTTGGTTAAAAGTGCTTGTGCAATGTTTTTACTACTATGCCCTAGGTTGTTTTTATCAAACCTATTAAAAAAAATATCAGCCATAATTTACATGCGACTTTTCGTCTGCTTTTTACTTATTCCAAAATCTAAATGCTAATTATATGTCCTATATTAAATCATAGTGATTTTCCTGGACCTGCTGAACTGTAGACTTTAGTATCAATTTTTATTTTTTTTGTCCATTTAATCAAGGCGAGTTTATTTTTTATTTTTTTGTAGAACTTTTGTTGTTATTCTCGCGTAAATGTAGCTTGAACAAGCAATGCATTTTGGGTATAGTGTAACTTGGAAAAAAAATCATTTGGATCAATGTGCAAAGTTTGAATTTTCTCTTTGCTCATTTCTTTAAGAGCTCACAGTAATGAGCGGCTCAAGCACTGCTTGCTGCGGTGCTATAATATGCAGTCCAAGATTTCTCTGACTCTAACCTCTGCTTTTACTTGACTTGTGCGATGGAGACACAAGACACAATCATAATATAAAAGCAGGGCTAAGAGTCAGAGGAATCTCTGATTAATAATACAGGTTACTCTCGATCTCTCAAAGTTCAAGGGACCGCAAGAAAAGTTCAAGAGATCGAGGGGCTTGAGAGATTGAAAGTAAATAAAATCTGGAATTTTCAGTTCTGATTATCAATGTCCTACTATATAGATACCTGAAGCATATGTAAATAAAGTCATTGCACATTTTCAATCGTATTTTACAAGTAATTTACTTGATATAAACAACAATTATCGTATTTCGAATAAATAAAATGAATTCCTGAAGTTTCAATATTTATTTTTCTTATTTCATGAGTCATGATTACATGAAACCTGTATAGCAATTACCATATGACTGTCACGGATGCTTTATTGTGAATATTTTGTAGAAAAAGCAGCCTACAGTTACCTGTGGGATGAGAATGCAGAAAAAATTCTTCCTGAACACTTCAAGAGGAGATGTCTGGAGTTCATGAATAAAGAACCAATCCCAGTTCACTATGTACCATCTACTGGGACTTTTGGCATTCATAAACTAACCAAATTACCGTAAATAACTTAAAGTTTTCTAGTTTGTCCACATCGCGACATGTTCGTGTCTATATGTACATGTTCACATTCTTCAAATTAATCTGCATAATTTACCGGTAGGCCTATATACAGATACAACATTTAAATGGGTTTCACATTTTTTTGGTGTAATTTTGTGTTTTAGTTTAAACTTTAAAAATATATGTTAAATATTCAAACCATCTTGTGTTTACAATTGTTGATTGATTGTTTGTGTGTTGTTTTATGTCCCATTATAGAATTTTTTACTCTTATAAAGACATCACCATATATTTGGATGAAATGCAATTGTACCAGTATGTTAAATTGAGAAACAAATGTTAATACAGAAATTTAAATGAGACTGCGGAATAGCAAATTTTAAAAAAAATTAGGTATGGCTTATTTTATGGTTATTCACCTTTAATTTGTTTTATTTTCTATGCACAAACACAAATTGATTGAATCAATTTTTAACTAATATCATATGAAAATTGTAGAAATAAAATCCAGAATGTTCCCATCCCTGCACTGTATCCCCAGGAAGCCAATGATGAACTGTGGGGTGGGGAAGGAATTGTCATGGGCTACAAGATGGACAAGGCTCATCTCAGACAGAAAAACAGGTTTGTCTATAAATGAGTAATTTTATTTAATGTTGCCTCTGTAGTTTTTAGCTCACCTGAGCCAAAAGACTCAAGTGATATGTTTTTTATCTCATTTGCTTATTGTCAATTTGGAAGTATCTTCAAGTAGTGTAGATTCAGGTTTGTTCAAATCATGACCCCCCTGGGGTAGATGGGGCCACAATGGATGGACAAAGTTATATATAGGGATGCTTAGGGAATTTTTCAAAAAAAAAAATCTTCTTCTCAAAACAGCAATGCCATAATTGGTCATATTTACATGTATATGGAAGCATCCTCCAGTAGTGTAGATTCAGATTTGTTCAAATCATGGCCTCTGAAGGTAGGGTGGCACCACAATGAAAGTTTCAAAGGATAGGAAAAAAGTCATTGTTAGTCAAAGAAACATGTAAGCATACTTTAAATTATAGTTAGTGTAGATTCAACTCAAGTTTGTTCAAATCACACCCCCACACCCCTCCTTTTAGGGTTAGGTCGGGAACACTTGAGCTTTTAAATGCTGGACTGATTTGCACAAGAGGCCTATTGTCTTTTTCTTATTGAATTACAAACCATTTGAGCTACAGTTTCTTCAGAGACATGAGGTCACTTGATTTAAAAATAATTTGTTTTTTATCTAGATTACCTAAGCTTTGGAAACCATTCGTTTGTAAGAGAGCAGTGTATAGTGAGATTCTGGATAAATGGTTTGAGATATCAATGACAATGCGAGTCCTAGATTTAATTGATGAATGTCATGGCTTTGATAACTATATTCTAAAAGTAAGTATGATGATTTACTTGCCTGTCTACATGAATAGAATCAGCTTTAGCAAAGTCCTCTTTCTTCACTATTCAAGTGTTCATGGTTTCCACTCCCTCACAAATTCTTCACCTGTTAGGCCAAATAATAGTTGGAAATTTTCATGTTACATACAGATCCCTGAAGTGAATTTTCAACTTTTGCAACTTTCATAATCAAAGAATAGTAGGAAAATCAAAAGCATTGACTCTGCAAAACAGGGATTTCTAAACTTATTATTCGTAATTTTAGTTGTTAAATAAATTAAATTTTTACCTTTACTTCAGACACATGAGCGTGATTTAAACTCTCTACTAGCCATGAAAATTCGGAGAAAAATGTTGCTTGCTCTTGCCAATGAAACCTGTTATCCAAATGACAAAGAGAAACAGGAAAGGATATTACACAAATACCATGAGTTCATTATACCAGTGAGTACAGATTGATACTGTTTCAAATACATGTACAAATACATGTTAAAGCATGAGAGTAGACATCTTTTAACCTTTTATGGTTTATTCTTGATACAATACATGTTTTGCATGTTATTTTGGATAATGATACAGTACAGTGTATTACAAAATATACTTCATGGCACATTTTTGCTGGAGAAGGTTATATACTGGTACTTATATATCACAAGCATTGTAAATAATGCTGATTTATATAACATCATTTTATGGTAAAGATTCATTATCTTTAATTTGACCTTTGACCCTTGCAGGCAGAGGAGGCAGAATGGGTGGGGCTTACCGTGTCAGAGGCGTTAATAAAAGCCAAGGAAGCAAAGAAGGCGGAGCCAGAAAATCAACCCAAACCACTCAAAGACCTGTATGAAGAAAACCTAGTCCTAAAACTTCATTGTAAGTAGTCATAATCGTAGTAAAATGAATTTACACCATTCAGGGTTTTTTTTTTTGAAAGAAAATTACTTGGGGATGGGTAGATTTAAGATTGATTCAATTGATGCCTATCCAGCACAGTTTTGAAAAGAAATAACGGACATTTATCAGTTTTTCTTATGATATAATCTAATTTCTGTGGTTCACTATCCTATTGCCCAGTGACCTTGACCTCTGAGTTATGACCCTGAGTTCAGATTGTAAAACAAATGTAGGTTATGAAAACAATGTACATAATATTGAGCTCATCTGGTCAAGGATTGGACAGTGTTTTGTGACAGAAAGACATACATTCCAAACAGATTATAAGGACAAACCAGGCATGGAGAGAAAGATAACAAAATCTTTGAGAAAGTCATAAAATCAATCAAGATTATTAATGTTGTATTGCTTTGAAAAAATTCTGATGAAGTTTGTGCTGACTAGCCTGATCAAATTTTTAGTAGTGTTCAGGTATCAGGCTAGTGCTTTTTGGGGCACAATGCCAAAACCAATGACTCCTGATTCTTGCCGATATTTGGGGAGGTGATGAAAGATAATTATTGTCAGACCTTCTAAGTACAGTAGAAAGGAATGTGTGGTTGGGAATTGACCCTTTTGGTTGAGTTCATATTATGGTGTGTGCAATTTCTTTGCAGTGATAAAAGAAAACAGATGGGAACAGATTATGGAGGAAATAGAAAAACCGAAAGAGGAAACAAAGGAAGCTCTGTCTATGATTGCCAAACTGAACCCCTTCTCCCAGTATAACAGAGCTAAAAGGAAGTCATGACAGGCGGAAATAAATACGGTTAAACATTCTCCTCATAGATTTATAACATGTACTGCCTTGGGAGCATTTTAAAAAAATAGACATTTTCTACAGACATAATTTACAATGGAGTGCAGGGATTCTGTGAAGTGATTTTTTCAAGTGTGCACTCTAAAACAGAATTAGTGGCAATATGATCAAGTGCGGGACTTATAATGTATAAATATATAAATTTTTGGTTTATATATTAAAGTTTTTTTTTAACATGTAGAGGTACTCATTTCATTATAAAGCTATGTGATTATTAATTGAAAATGTGTGCCTTATTTGGTAGAACAGTGACTTAATTTACCGTGGTAGATTATCTCCCTTTGTGTGCGAGCCAGCTATAACCAGATGTTTGTTACAATTCAATGCTTATGATAGTATAGAACTTCTATAGGGTAGCTGCTATTGGAAGTAACACCATTAATTAAACCTAAATACTCTGTTAAAGATAAACCATACCTTTAACATGAAAGTTCATATATTAAAAGAGCACGATACGAACACATCTGTACTACCCGGAACCCATCGCTCGTGTGGCGCAGTGGTTAATGCGTCTGGTCCTGACCCGTGGGTTCATTTCCACTGCAGGACTTGGCCGGAGACCGATCCTTTGGATGAGATGGTATAAACCAAGGTTCCATGTCGCAGTGGGTGCTGGCATAAAAAGACCCTTCACTGCTCAAAGGCCCTCAGTGTCGAGTATATGTTTAAATTTGCAGCCCTCCACCGTCAAGTGGTGGCATCTTTGTATGGGGGAAAAATTCTAGAGAGTGGCGTTAAACAACAAAAAACAAATAAAAAAGATAGCCCTGCTAGCCATCCATTGTCCATATGTCCTTTAAGAATCAGACTCTTGGCTAGCGAAATTGGGAAAGATGTAATCTGAACTACTAATATATTGAAATATTCCTAAATATTTGTTTTTTCTAAATTATTATTTCAAATCCAAATCTGAGATGCTTGTTGACTTTATTTTATAATACAAAATTTGAATAAAATGAGTAGAAGTCCTGGTTTCCATTTGAAAAAAACCGGAGGCTTTGAATTTCATAAAGTTATGCGAAAAATTTAAATGCTTGTCGTTCATTAGTTATGGAGCTTTTCGTCGCCATATCATCAGAGACTCTTGACTTCTGTGGACGTGCATATTCAGCACTTTCTCAAGAAATAAAAAACCATCAACGCCGACACGGGTGTCTTCCTTTTAAGTCTGGGAGTAGAGGAGAATGTGCGTTGATAAAGACTGAACGAAAGCGCGTTAACATAGCGACCCACTGTGCATACCCGACGCGCCGCGAGTTGTCTAAATTATCGTCTGCACATTGTTCTAAATCATGTTGTTGCATACGAAAAATAAGAGACTGTAATTGACCGTGTTGACTTAAGGCATTAGATTTCATAAGGACACAATTTGATTCTTGAAAGCCTTGTGTCACCCGCCCGATCCTCTAAAGTTTGATCTGACCTGCGACATTTAACCAAACAGAAACGAGCTTCAAAAGATATTGTGTTTTAGTTCAAGTGCCCCTGCGATGTTTCAATCAATTTTACAGTAAAATATTTGGAACACTGCATCGATTGTGTGTTAGTCTCGTCAGTTCAGGTGAACATCATTCAATCCCCAGGGAACTACATGTAAGAGTTACACCCCCTTTTTATTAAAAACAAAAAAACCCAGAAAAAACAAAAACAAAACAAAAAACTACTATACACAAAGCAAAGCAAAAACAGATGAAGAAGCATGCACCGCTTCCAAAAATATTTTTAATGCTTTGTAGGACGTTGTGTATCCGCTTTTGTTTGTCCTCAATCTTGCGTCTCCAAACAAACGGACATTGCGAATCCTGAATATTTGTTAGGTGTAAATCTCCGAAATTTCGTCTTGCTTTCCAATTTTATTTCTGAAAGTACATTTCATTTAATTTTTAGCTCTACTGGTCAGAGACCAGAAGAGCTTATGCGATAGTAATGCGTCCGGCGTCCGTCCGTCTGTCCGTCTGTCTGTCTGTCTGTAAACAATTTTTCAAAATGCTACTCCTCCTACAGTTTTGATCTGATTTCAATTTTACTTGGCATATAAGTAGACTACACTAAGATACATAATTCTGTGTATCGGATTTTGATTTCGACGAACGGTGTTGGCGTTGTTACTAAAAATAGAAATTTCTATGAAATTCTTTCAAAATGCTACTCCTCCTAGTTTTGGTCTGATTTCAATATAACTTGGCACACAAGTAGACTGCACTAAGATACACAATTCTTTGTATCGGTTTTTGATTTCGACGAACGGTCTTGGCGTTGTTACTAAAAATAGAAATTTCTATGAAATTCTTTCAAAATGCTACTCCTCCTACAGTTTTGGTCTGATTTCAGTATAACTTGGCACACAAGTAGACTACACTAAGATACATAATTCTGTGTATCGGTTTTTGATTTCGACGATCGGTCTTGGCGTTGTTACTAAAAATAGAAATTTCGGTGAAATTCTTTCAAAATGCTACTCCTCCTACAGTTTTGTTCTGATTTGAGTATAACTTGGCACACAAGTAGACTACACTAAGATACATAATTCTGTGTATCGGTTTTTGATTTCGACGAACGGTCTTGGCGTTGTTACTAAAAATAGAAATTTCTGTGAAATTCTTTCAAAATGCTACTCCTCCTACAGTTTTAATCTGATTTCAATATAACTTGGCACACAAGTAGATTACACTAAGATACATAATTCTGTGTATCGGTTTTTGATTTCGACGAACGGTGTTGGCGTTATTACTAAAAATAGAAATTTCTATGAAATTCTTTCAAAATGCTACTCCTCCTACAGTTTTGATCTGATTTCAATATAACTTGGCACACAAGTAGACTACACTAAGATACATAATTCTGTATATCGGTTTTTGATTTCGACGAATGGTATAGGCGTTGTTACTAAAAATAGAAATTTCTGAAATTCTTTCAAAATGCTACTCCTCCTACAGTTTTGGTCTGATTTCAATATAACTTGGCACACAAGTAGACTACACTAAGGTACATAATTCTTTTATATCCGTTTTTGACTTGAATGAACATTATTACCTTGGTTAATAAAGATAGCAATTTCTGTTACTCTCAAAATGCTACTTCAAATACAGTTTTAGTCTGATTATAATATAATGTGGCATGCAAGAAGACTACACTAAGAACATAAAGAAACTTATTCAAGGATCATTATCCTCTTTTTTGCTAGTGTAAAGTTTCAATTCCCAACTGCTTAAGTACTTTCCTCTTCCTTTGCTATAAGTACAAACCAGTAGAGCTTCAGTCTCAACAGAGACTTCTGGTTTACATTGTAGCTGAAAAGTGACAAAAACAAATTAAATTTTCCAAACAAACAAATAAACATAATTGACAATGTACCAACGTCAAATAAATTAACATCTCGGTTAATTTTAATTCCACGAATAAGTAAGTTTATGATGTGTATCTTTAAAACGCACCGATTTATTTCATGTGAATAATCAAGTTTATTTGCGGCAAACTACAGTAATGATTACAGTCAAAGGAGAAGACACGTGATTGGTCCTCGGTGGACCGGAACCAGAATGCGGTTTCTTCCGACTCTTTTTTAGTAACAAGTTGGTTGCATCACGACTGTCAGTAGATATTAGGAATAGTTTGTATTTACACCACTTCAAAAGTCACCAACTCTGCATATAAAGAGTTAATTTGAAAGTGGTCAGCAGTGACAATTATCTAAATGGTATTTTCCAAACGAATAGTTCTTACAGGGAAATTCGAGACCGTTTTCTTAAAAGAGGGTAAAAATGAATGGTAAAATGAAATGCATAGAGTTTTTGAAATTTTTAATACTGCGTCGGATCTTCTCATTTTGTGTAGTTTATATATTTTTACCCCGATCTCTCCTTTTTTGCGGCTGAAGTAATCGATTATGGTTAATAACATCATCCCGGTCCAATCAAACATGAATTTGTTAACGATTTCCGAACCTTACCAGTTATTGAGTGTTCTCATGAAACCGACAAAGGGATTGCAAAGATAAGTTTTCAAAAACAATACCGGAAAACTGATATTTCTAAGAAAAAGTGTGGTGTATTGAAAGTTTAATACGGCACGACCGGAGTTTGCATCGTTTCATGTAATGATTAATATGTAGGTCTTTGATGGCGGAAAGCACGTCCATTATTCCAAAGATACACAATATTCTGAATGCGGATCTAAACCAAAGTCTTTTACTTTAATGCTGAAATTTCCTTGCCTAAAATAAAAACCAAACGCTATAGTTTATTCGTACCTTCTTTTACGCATGTTCGTGTGTAATTTGACGGAAATTTCATCGCTCTGGCTAACAATCGCTGACAGATTACATTACTTATCCATATAACACACGTTTGTCAAAAAAATTTTAAACTTGTCACAGGAAACCAAATTATGTGAATAAATCATAAATGTACTTTATCATGATAATTCTGATTTGAACTTGAGAGGTTTTAAAAGTTATTCAAGGAATCAATCAGTCGTGGATTCGGCGAAATAAAAACTTGAATTTTTGCATGGAGTGCAGACACGTATATATATACTGCAGTAGAACGCATAGATTTTCGTTGCAAAGCTGCTAAAAACGTCATACATTTTAAAAGAAAGAATAAATTGTGTATAAATTTCTTATACCCTTCACAGTACATGTAGCTCAGTCGGTATATACTAGAGCGCTCGCTCCGTGATCGGGAGACCGCAAGTTCGAATCTCGGCCGCGACTGACCTAAGTCGATAAAAAAAAAGGGTACGGCACTCGGCTATTTGAAATGAAAGTTGCGGGTCCTTCGGATGAGACCTTAATAACCGAGACTCCATGTCACGGCAGACGTTGACACGATAAAGATCCCTCACTGCTCAATGGCCCTAAGAGCTGAGTAAAGGTCAAAATTTGAAGCCCTTCACCGGTATATGGTGCCGTGACGTCTCTATATGAGTGAAAAATTCTCGAATAGGACGTAAAACAACCTACAATCAATCAATCAATCAATCTTTATTGAGTTAACAATCCAGTCATTTATTCCATACCTGATCATCTTTGATTAAAGGAGTGTTTTATTTGTCGATATAATGAAATAGAGAGCTAGAACGATACAGCGAAACAAACCGCTCAGAAATCCCTAAAGCAACCCGCCTCCCCCGAGTTTCTTCGATTTAGATTTTTTTTTATTCAAGCTTTGATATGCAGTGCTGCGGGTGGTGTATGTTTAGCAAGAAATGGTAACGCTTCCAGG